GTTTTCTTTTTAGCTAAATGTTGATGGTGACGAAACTAACATTATTGCTGGTCATTTCGTGTTTCCATGTACAATGGAATATGAACTAGAGACCTGCACAAGTTCAAATCAGTCCTGTTTTCATTGTCAACTCATCCCAACAATCATGAGAACCCACAACAAGCATCAGTTTTTAAGTCACTCACGATGCCCTTACATGTTACTAGTAGGTGCCAGTCATTTTTCCAAAAGAGAGAAAACAAAAGCAGCTTAAGCCTGTAAAAAAGGTCCAAGAGCTACTGCAATGCCAGAGTAGTGTTGCTCGTAACCCCGACAAGACGAAGCTGCAATCTGGTCTCCAGGTTTACGGGAACTCTGCAAAAGAACAGACAGAAACAAAATGCAGGTGTTCAGTCAGACGGCTTCAAAGTGATCAGGCTTTCAACAACTAGGACTTGAGAGGGACGAAGAAATGCCATACCATTTACTTCCGTCCGTCAAATTCCAAACATGTAATTGATCACAACTGCTCATTTTCTAACACAAAACGGGATGGACTCCTATACAGGATTTACACGAAACCCATCATCCGGAACTTTCTGACATGAACCAATATACATCAGAGCTAACACGTTGAGGACGAATGAGGAATGATGGCAAGCTACCAGTAATACATGTCAAATGCTCTAATCAATCTATGTAAGCATAGATCATTTACAGGGGGGGGGGGGGGGGGGGGGGGGGGGGGGGGGGGGGGGGAGCGAAAAGGTCACGAAAAACGAGCTTCAGCTGCTCTGAGGATTGCAGCTTTGTCAAATCTGAAGTGTCTGAAATTCTCGCCAGGCCCCGTGTCGGGAGGAGAGGGAGGATGAGGAGGAGGATGCTGATGATGAACATCAGATTTGGGCTTAGTCAACTGGCTCTCCAATACTGCTGCGCTTGTGCTGCCTCCTGTAGAGCTATTCCTTGCTTTCCACATGGATACACCTTCAACCATGGGGGAAAATTAGAACTCCCTTATCAGCAGGGACTAAGATGGAACAAATGCCAAAGAGGAATAGTGAAAAATGTAGGTGAAGAAAAGTGGAACCTTTGAGAGGGAGATCAGGTCTTGGTGCCATAGAGGGCGGATGTGATGAAATCCATGATTTCAAAGACCTACGAGACAAGTAGGTAGTTAGTATAGGAAAAGGCCTTCAACTAATTGAGAATGACCAAAAAGCATTGCCAGAGTACTCACGATAAGAATGGAGCAACCATGTAAAGTTTGAGGCCGATGATACTACGTGATATTACATCATCATTTGCTGGCAGGAGCTCATCCAGTCGCTGCCAGGCAATTTCCTGCAAGCAGCATGCTTATTTAGAAAATATTCCCCATAAACAATACAAACCCATAGAATGTAAAGGTTATTCTCTGTTCATCTAGCTCAATCTCAGATATCTCAAAACTTTGGCATCTTCCTATTCTAAGGGTTGCTCATGAATGATGCACGATATGGCGGTAGTTGAATCACCAAACAAGTCCATATGCTAAGAATTATGAACAAAACACTACCAGAGGGAAGAAAATCAAAGGAAAATAGAAATCAACTCAGCAACATATGAGTACATCTACTCAAAGCCCTGAAGGAACACTTTATTGGTGCTATTTCATTGTAGGTATCAGAATGATTCAGATCAAGTAACAAGGGATTGGGAGTTCCAACTAATCACATACACTTATCTCCTTTTTGGTCTGTGGAGCAAATGTAGTATCATCCTTGACACCAGCAATTATGTAAAGCCGAACCCTCTGTTGTCCAAATATTTCCTCAATATATTCATCTTTGTTAAGAAGATTTGAAACGTCAAAACCTGTTTCCTCGAAGACCTGTAAGTGGATGAACAATTACCCATGATATGAATTGGGCAACCAAACTATTACAGCTAGTGGATAAGCTTCCAGAGCTACTACTTAAATCCTCAAACACATTGGGACTCATGGGGAAAAGAACATACTTCTCGGATAGCGCATGCATGATCTTCCTCATCTTTGTTCTTTTTACCCCGTGGGAAACTCCAACTGGTCCCTTTCCACCCTTTCACCAGCAAGCACTGTTAGAAGAAGAAAATTGTTGGTTTACTCTATAAAAATAAAATCTTAATATGTTGAATTGCCACCTAATTACATAACTGAAGACTACACCAGCCTGATATGGATGCCATATGAGCAAAGAAGCAATAGTTTTTAAACCTGCTCAATTTAGTTTTCTTTGTCTAAATATCAATCTATTAAAATTGTAGCCACGGTGATACCTCAAATGTCAAAAAAAGTTTTGGCTAAGGGCACTCAGTCTCTTAATTCATGGCTATTATAGAGAAAGGTCACATGGAATTCTATACAATCCTAACTACATATGGTTCTTCCTCTTGATTAAGTTAGAGTTAGCTTGTGATGACCGTAAGAACCAATGAGATAAAAATGCATTAGCAAAACCAATATCGGGCACATAGAAAATGAAGAGGAAGTTACATATTCGCCAATGACAGTCACATCCATAAGAAATCATTAAACTAGAACAGCATTGACAGCAAGAAGAGTTGATGCTTCTTACTCACCCGTTCATAGGTCTCATCCAGAATAATTGCCCCAGTTACGGGTACTCGAACTTTGTACGAGGTGAAATCCTTGAATATGTCATCTATATGAGGAACATATGGTCGTAGAACATCACAGCTATTAAATACTGTAAACCATTAAGGAAAATGGTTGAAATAGACAGAAAAGTGATGAGTGCAAAAAAATAGAGATAAAATCGCTAATGTGTCATCTATTATGAAAAACATAAGGTTGGTAAAGCAGCACGCTATTAAACACTGGAAAAGAGAGGAGGAATAAGGTTAAAACAAAAGTTAGTGAGAAAAATAGAGCAGCGAAAATTGATGGATTAGACAAAATAACTGAAGAGAAACATAATTCGAGAGTGAAATTAAGACTTGGTAATTGGTATGCTTCCAAAACAGCCCTCAGGAACCACCATACATAAACTTAGCAAGAAAAAATGAAAAAAAGTGCATCACCACGGAGAAATATGCAAGTCCTTAAGATGCAAGTGACCAAAAATCACACCTTATTCCATCACTACACTTTCGCGAGTAAGACTTACAGAAGCACCATCTCTGTATGCAATCTAACATATTAAAGAGGAAACTATACAAAACTATATACGCATAGGCTGTCAGTAAACAGACTGCAAAAAGGAACAGCTGAGTAAATAAACAGAAACCAGTTACATTAGACTTGATGAAGGATACACAAAGAGGTGAATTCCTTCAAGTTGAATGACTTCAATGATGGATTATTTTCTACAGAATTGTCCTCATAGAACCAATGTGCATACTCCACAAGGAATAAAATTCTCTCAAAGGATTGTTGATCCTCTTGGGGCACATTCAAAACGAACCGGCTGCAATATACAAAGATATATATCAGATTTTTTTTGGTGAAACTAAACAAAACGAAGACATATCTGGGGAAGGAGAACAAGAGTAATTTTCGACCATGAATCAGCACCAAGCCTTGAACGCATGTGATTATACGACAGATCTCAGAACAATCATAAATTCGAAAAGAAAATTAGGCATATGTTTAACCAGCTGATGAAACTAAACAGCCTTAGCACCATTTGTTTCAACTGATGGCCTTAAATTGAAGATTCCACGATCCAGACCTCATACAAGCTCAAGCCAACCATGGCAATTCAAACAAATCTGTAAGCTACTAAACCAAGCTCAGTTCACTTCCTTCAGTTTCTTTCGGCTCAAAACAGCATGAAGGCAGGAAGCCTCACAATCTTCACTTTCTAGACAACCAAAGAGGAAACTAGCACCAATCTCTAACACTGACAATTCAAAGCAACTGAACAAGCACATTACAGCTTTCCGGGGAGAAACAGCACAATAATTGAGAGGGGGAAAACGGACGAAGAAACAAGCAAAGAGGAAAGAGAAGAGCGCAGTTCGGTGACTAAACCTGCAGAGATCATCGAGAAGTTCCTGAGGAGGAATGCCGCCATGGCCGTTCTTCAACGGAGCACTGGAAGATCGGTGCAGACCAGACATTTGGCGTATCAAGCTAAGCACCTAAAGTTTCTTCTCTACCGCCTTACTTATGAGTTCCTTGTTGTGTTATGAGTGAAAAGGAGCTCTTTCCGTGTTGACGATGGCGATTGTATAAATGGAGAAAGGGAAAGAAAGAGCTCCACACTCTCTCCCCCAGCTGCAGCGGCCGATTTGGGATCCGAAGTCCGAACTCCCCAATTGAACTGTACAGCTGCCCGCTCCCCTTCCCTTAGCCAGCTACCGATTCATCTTCTACATCTTTCCAGAGTGTCTCTTCTCTTCTACTACCCTTAACAGCATGGAGAAACTCCCCTTATTGGGCCCATCTATGGGCTCTCTCCACTGGGCTGACACCCCGTTTCGATCTATCATTATCTTTTCCTTCGAAAACAAATACACAAAATAAACAGTTAATAGAACTTTATACATCTTCTTCTACCTCCCTTAGTGGGAAAAAGTTAATCTGCTAACTTGAAGATTTGTTAGCAGATAGTCAGATATTAACTGATATCCAAAATATATGAACTAGTATCGAAGTACTAAAGTATATAGAGAACACATACTAGTATTCAAAGTTTGCTAACTGATATCCATCATGAATCAACTATTATTCCAAACTCACAAACTAGTATCTAGACAACACATAATAGTATCCATATAACACATAATTAGTATCCGGATAATACATAAGAGTATCCATATTGAATACTAGTTGGTTGATTGTGGATATTAGTTGATATATGCTATCTGGATACTAGTTTGTGATGTTTTGAATTTTAGTTTGTGCTTTCTAGATATTTAGCAGACTTGGATATTAATTCATACATTTTGAATATTAGTTAGTATAGTATATAGTAACGAATCTTCAAGTTAGCAGAATATCCGGCACCCATCGACTCCAGGCCAATGCGTCAAAGCTTTACTTCGTCTTATTCTTCCCTTTCCCCCTCTACGGCGGGCGAAAGATCGTGCTCTCGAATCGTCGGCGAAATTTTTTCCGGTTTTGTATAACACCACCTGGGCCTTGGATAACAGGATGACCGCCGGCGGGGCTGATTTATACTGGCCTGTTTTGTTGCCATGAAAAGAGAAGCCCTAAACTGTTCTGTTTCGCGGAAAGAAGGAAAGCTCCCCCAGCTTGTTCAAGGGTTCATGAAAATTGCATTTTCCCGGTATTGGAGTGCAATGGAAACTATGTTTCTTGTTTCCTTACAGTTTTCCCCCCCAGAATTGGTTAACCATTCTGCGTCTGCTTTCTGCCTCTGTGTTCAAGCGATCATTGTAAATGTTATTTCAGAGAAACAGAGTCTGTCTTTTTGCCTTGGATTGGTCATCTCTTGGCACTGAACCGGGATTTTTGTTTATGGATCATTGGTATAGATGTAGAATTGAATTGGGTTGATGTTTACAATGGTTTTTGGCGATACTCTGTGACGAAAGGAAGTTTCCCCCTTTCCCCTCGACAACTGCTGCTTGTTTCAAGCTTGGTCTTCTGAAGCACTATGAATGGGTTCTCTTTACAGATTGAATTACAGTTGATGACATTGTGCAGTGGCTGATCCCACTAGTTTTTTAATTTCATATTACTGCTCATTGAATCAGAAGCGTAGGACTTATAATGCTACTGCCCATTAGAAGGAAACTTGACCTGCTTCTTTTGGCGGAGATGGATCAAACTGCGAGGAAATTCATATCTAGTGTACTTGGTTTCTCTTGTTCTCTGCAGCGGAAATAAAATATCGGAAAACCTAGTGAAATGACGAAGCTCTTCATGTCAACTTCTCGTGGCATTCTATTTGGCTTCTTCTTGGGAATATCTTTACCAACACCCTTCCTCTCAAAAGTTCCTTGCCAATACTGTTTGGACGCTATTTTTCTTCTGATTAAGGAATGGGTTTGGGATTTGGTAGATGAATCTTCCAACCGGTTGGCTTCCCATCCTTTGACATCGCTTATATGGAGGACAAGTACTCCAGTCTTTTGTTACAAGAACTGCTCAATCCTTTGTCCTCTCTAAGGAGACCTAGTATGAATTCCTTGTTATTTCACCATACAATGGAACCAAGGTATATACCACCTGTAGTGTCCTGTAATTTTCTCGAGGAGAAGCAGATGAAGACAAGCTGTATTTGTTCAACTAATGCATATGTGGATCAATGAAATTCCTAAAGGTGCTGAGAGTTTACCTTCTGGTATTGCAACTTCTGAATCAGACTTGTTTCTTCACCGATTGTGAGGTATGCCTGCTGAGGTCTGTTATTCCAAGTTCAACCGAATAAACATAATCTCTTAAGACAATGTGTTTAGCTGTTATGAATTGTGATGATGACTTTCATGGTCCCGATCAAGTTCTTCCTTTTCTTATTTATGCTGTCTCTTTTGCTGATGGAGGTGGCATTCATAGGCCCTGGCCTTGCAACCGAAGTATCTAGTGACGTTCACTGTTGGTTATGAACATAGAAATAACATCAATTCAGCAGTTGAAAAGGTCAGTCTAATCTCAGTATTCCACACACTTTTTACTACCACTATATTTCTTTTTCCCAATCACTAACTTGTACAAAAGCAGTTCTCAGAACTTCACCGTCCTATTGTTTCACCATGACAGCCGGATAATCGAGGTGAAAGAGTGTGAATGGTGAAACTGAGCAATCCTTGTGAGTGCTGCCAATCAAACAAAGTGGTAAGAAAGCACTTCTCTCATCTCATCTTCATAATTCTGATTTTGTGGATCAAGATTTACTTTTTCTCACTGGTTCCTTGAAAAAGAAGAAAAATTGCAACAGTAAAAAATGATGGTTATGTGATGATGATGAGACATGATTTCTGTAATTGGAAACAAGGATCATGATCTTAATCTCTTCCCTTGCCCAGCAATTAACCAACTAACACACCACCACCAAACAACCGCCCCCACACTTTGATTTGAATTTCCTGCTCTTTTACTTATTATTTGCCGTCGTGGACAGCCTCTTTTCTTCCTTATGAACTTCCCCTTGAAGTAACAGAAATCCACCAAGGCATGCATTGGGGCAATCATTTTGAACCCCCAAAAGAAGAGGCAGGAAGGTCCAACTAAAGTTCTTGAGTGCCTTTCACTTTTTACTTTTTGTTGGCCCCCTTTGGTATGGTAATCACCACCTAAATTCCCCTGTTGCCCCCATCTGCAGTACCCTCCATTCTCCATTCGAAATTTGAATATCATCCCAACACCCCTCTTCTTTATATATACCAAATTGCTGAACTTTCTGTTATATTCAACTTGAAATTGAAAACCAGGAAGAATGAGCACAGCGAGCAGGTTCATCAAGTGTGTGACAGTTGGGGATGGTGCCGTTGGGAAGACATGCATGCTCATCTCCTACACTAGCAATACCTTCCCTACCGTAATGATGCATATACCAAATTCGATCATCAACCCAATTTCACATCTTTTGTTTTTGTTTTGCCTTCTTCTAATGTGTCCTTGTTGATGTAGGATTATGTTCCGACGGTGTTCGACAACTTCAGTGCGAATGTGATGGTGGATGGGAGCACAGTGAGCTTGGGATTATGGGACACAGCAGGACAAGAGGATTACAACAGGTTGAGGCCATTGAGTTACAGAGGTGCTGATGTCTTTTTGCTGGCCTTCTCCCTTATTAGCAGACCCAGCTATGAGAACATCTCCAAGAAGGTACTTCTTCATTTTCTTTTCATTTCCTTCTTTGCACCACCCTTTCTACAACTACATTATCTGTCATCTAAGTGATGTTTTCCAAAAATGATTTTCTGTTTGAATGCGATGCAGTGGATTCATGAACTGAAACACTATGCTCCAACCATCCCAATTGTGCTTGTCGGAACTAAACTTGGTAAGAATGCACAAGAAGCCTAATTTAGCACAAGTTCCACTTTTTGTTACACATGGTTTCTCTCTAGTTCCTGGTTCAGGACTAATTTAAACAAATACAACATGAGGACGTGAATGCAGATTTAAGAGATGACAAGCAGTACTTGACCGACCATCCGGGTGCAACCAGGATCACAGCTGCACAGGCAAGAACATTCGTTACTTAAAACTAATCCAACTTTAGTAAGGAAGACCGTTCATTTTTGTTCAGGTAACTAGAATGCCGATCGATTTGCAGGGAGAAGAACTGAAGAAGAAGATAGGTGCAGTGCTGTACATAGAGTGCAGCTCCAAGACACAACACAATGTGAAGGCAGTGTTCGATGCGGCGATCAAGGTTGTTCTGCACCCTCCCAAACCGAAGAAGAAGAGGCTGAAGCCTAATCGCCTCTGTTTAATTCTCTAAATTAGGAAAGCCAATCACCATATATACCCTTTCTTCCATTATAATGCTTCTTTTGACCTTGCTACGCCCAGTTCGTATGGTTACTATACAATGTATCTAGTAACTCCACTTATTATCCACATCTCTTCACTCTTTTGTAATTTGTGGCATGTCTTGCTCACATGTCAGTACCTGAAGTAGGTTGTTGGTGCTATCATGTATAATCCAAATCCAAGCTCAATCTATGAGCTTGCTTATATGTTTAGTACTTTAATTTCCGGTCGAATCTCTCTACCATCGCATTTAAATTGTTTTTGAAAGCAGGTAGCATTATCGTAGGAGTAATAGATGTTCTCATCGCACCTTACCATTTGGCTAACCTGTTAGCAGCAACAGAGCCATGGAAATCGTAAAAAAAATGTGTAAATTTATTTACATAACTAGTTAGATATTTTTTGTATTCATTTTGGATCTCACATCTCAGACCCATGAATTTTAAATGAAACTCATGAAATCTTTCATTTTGAATGAGCTCACTTGAAAATTTGATAGAAAGACAAATACATATGTTATTATTTGGTTATTTTTTGAATCTAGTGAAAATGACACCTCATTTTATCATTTATGTGTCATTGAATTTTGATCGACTTACATTTGAAAATAGATAAATTTAACTTAAAAATTATCGCATATTGGTACAGAATTATTTTGTTTTTCACATTCAGAAATTTTTTAGTGCACCAATACTCATTAGTGTAAACCCTCATTTTCTTTGCCCCAAAAGAGGCCAAAACCGATCTATTTGACATTACCAATTTAATTTCTTAAGATTGATGGACATTTTATTTCCATAACTTTAATGTACCGTACCAACTTAAATGACCATAGAAGAAATTTAGTTTTGAAAGCACCATAATTTTTTTACTTTTTTACTGCCTGTCTTTTAATATTAATATACGGTTTGATATAAATAAATTTCATAAGTTTTGATAAATTCATTTTCAAATGATTTTTTTTTTTTGTATTTGGAATATAAAATATTTCATTTTCAATTCAAGATTTTGAATTCTCTGGAATTGAAGCTAGTTTTAGCAATTTGAATAATTGAGCTGAAATTTCCAAATGAATTCCACAAATATTTTACTAGATATGATAAAATGACATAATTATCCTCAATTTTGGAGTAAATTACCTCATATATATGATTTTACTAATTTGGCTCCTTACCCTGCTTGCTCAGTAGCTAATTACCTAATATTTTTAGAAGAAGGATCTTGAAGTAAATTACCTCATATATATAATTTTACTAATTTGGCTCCTTACCTTGCTCGCTCAGTAGCTAATTACCTAATATTTTTAGAAGAAGGATCTTGAAGTTGTTTACTATTTTAACGAACTTTATTTTTTGTTGGGTCGAATCGGTTGCGGATGACAAAATTTGACACTAGGGTTTTACAAGATGGAACTCGAAGTTGTTTATTAGGTTTTACGGATGATAGAATTTGACACTAGAGTTGGATGATAACTTCGACAATTGCATTTTTAGAAGATTGACGATGAGTAATATTGATTTTGTTTTTGCTGTGAATTTAATAAGGGCATAATTGAAAACTTTTAATTTAGTTAAATTATGAAATTATTCGAAAAACAATTTGTGAATGCATTTCAATTTATTTCTAATGATTCGAATTCGGCACATGAATTCATTTGACCTAAAACGAGAGTAAAACAATGAAGTGAGCTTAATTTCCACAGTGGCGGCTGGTCTTCTTTTTAACAATTTCCACGTGGCTCTTTCTTTTACTTCCATTGGAGGGAGAGGCAGAGCCAGCCAATTCGGACTTATTAATTGCCATCAAGTCATCAACTCGCACTTGCTACGTGGCGCTGTGCTTGTGCAGCAGGACCACCAAGCTATTCCGCAAAAATTACTATCATCGATCGACTCAGAATCCGCAGATTCCCTCGGTACGGCAGCTACTAAATCGAGGGCTCGCCGAGGATCCGCGTATCAAATCGCCGGTAAAAGCCAAGTCAAACACAGTCCTTACTCTACTGAACCATCTACCAATCCCCCAGGATCACACGCCAATTTCTTCTCAGAGCTATGCGAAAGCGTCCGGGGAATTCGTCGGCAAAATCGACGAGCCAACCACCGAACAGGGCCGGCGATGGTGACGCTCCGTCCGCCTCCGGTGACGGCGGTGGAATCCCGATCGACGCTATGCTCGGGGCTAGAAGGTCCGGATTCGTGTGGCTGGTCTTGTTCGGTTTGTTGATGTACTCGTCTTGGGCGGTGTACGAGTACCAGTACGAGAGCTTGCCTCCGCCTCTGACGGCGGCGCAGGCCGGGAAAAGAGGCTTCTCCGAGGTGGAAGCTATGAGGCACGTTAGGGCCTTGACTCAACTTGGACCTCACCCTGTTGCTTCTGATGCGCTTGATCGTGCTCTCCAGGTAATGGCTTTGTCGAGGGCTTATCGCTATGCATTGACTGTTTTGGCAATTGTTCTGTTCTTGGCAATTCGATCGCATCGTTCCAAACGAAGTAGTAATTTGTGGCAGTGCTTTTTTTTTTATAGCTTAGCTGCTATTGAATTTCCATGAGTAGGAAAAGTTGCTAAGTTCTGCAAAGTAATTGTTTTGAAGTATTATTGTAGGAAATAGATGCATCATCTGCGTTCTTGCTTCTTTAACTATAAACGGAGAGTTGTAGCAGTATTAGTATTTGGCACCAAGGCTGCCTGCTGTTCAATGCCTAGGCTAGTCGGGAAACAAGGATTGGATTCTTGTACAATTTAGCCACTTATGTTGGTCTTGGTTTCCATTTTCCTTATTTCTGCTATTGACTCGTTCAGTACTGATTTTGCCCTTACGAGTCTCTGAGTTCTGTTAGTAAGTCATTTAAGATTTCCCTCTGCAACAGTATGTTATGGCAGTGGCAGAAGCAATCAAGAAAAGTGCTCACTGGGAGGTTGCCGTGGAAGTGGACCTTTTCCATTCAAAATCAGGAGCAAATAGCTTGGCCAGTGGCCTCTTTGTGGGGAAAACACTTGTTTATTCAGATCTTAATCACGTTGTATTACAAATCTTGCCAAAATATTCATCTGAAGTTGAAGATGCTATTCTCGTCTCCTCTCACATTGACACCGTATTCTCAGCGTATGCTTTCTTTTACTTTGACCTGGAACATGTCTTTTGTTATTTCCCGTTTAGATGAGTAGCGTGGTGACATTTGGGCCTTCTTATTTCTGTTTCTATAATAATTAGAGTATGTTGCTTACAGATTGTTTTTCTCTTTAAGTGAACTCCAATTATCTTCTTTACCTTGAGTTTTTTCTTCTGCAATCAACCCTGGGATGGGACTGTGTCAGCTGATAAATGTCATATTAGTGTGTTCATTCTGGTGAGCCATAGTTGTCAGATCTCTTCTAACTCGCAAAATCTGGTGTTGTAGAGAAGGTGCTGGAGATTGCAGTTCATGTGTAGCTGTGATGTTAGAACTCGCCCGGGGGATTTCTCAGTGGGCCCATGGATTCAAGAATGCAGTCATATTCTTGTTCAACACAGGCGAGGAAGAAGGTCTCAGTGGTGCGCACAGCTTTATAACTCAGGTTGAAGGCATTGTTAATTCTTATTCACTGGTTCATCTACTGAGATTATCTTATTTCTCATTTGTGATGGCTAAAGAAATTATCTTTCATTCATTTCATTTGTCTAGACAAATGAATTTATTGATGAGGTCTGTCCTCTTTTAATATATACTCTGTTTTCGGTATTTGGTCCCAATGAGATATTCAGGGGTTTGGCTATTAGTTGCATTATTCTCACTGCTCCCTTGTTTTTATTGACTGGTGCAGCACCCCTGGAATACTACTATTAGGATGGCTATTGATTTGGAGGCCATGGGCATTGGAGGAAAGTCTAGCATATTTCAGGTACTCATTCCATTATGACTGTTAACTATAGCTGTTTCTTCTTCTTGAGTACCTTGTTGCGGAACACGAAGAATTAGGCTTTGGGACTTGGGAGTTCAGGATGACTTTTACTCACCCATTTTCCTGTAATTCGTGTACATTACTGAAACAACAAACTCAAGGCATTTTGATTTAATATGGACGTGAACAGTGTAATATTAAGGTGACAACTGAGAGCCAGTGTATGGTCGTTTCGTTTTCTTCAAGTAGAGTAAAACAATATAAGTAGAGCTTGGCCATGCTGCTAGTGACATTAACTCTGATTCAGTTGGCATACCCCTGCGCATCGTAACTGGTGATTAACTTTTCAATATCTGGAAGAAGACCTCCACTAATTAGAATGTCATATCTTGTTTTCAGAAGCAAGCAAGCATCTTGTACACAGAGAGGCTTTGTAGGTTAATATGGTGGATGATGGCCAAATGGTCGTTCATAAGGTTCTAAAATGATGACTTATCTGGGATTATAACAGTATACGTTTTATGACCTAAACCTTAGATTCATCAGTGTCTTCAAATCTGTCCCACCATTCCCCTATCAAGGGTAGAACAAACAACCAGTTAGTCATCTCTTTTTTATCTGGGGCTCTTATACTGTGCTCAATTTTCTGACTTGTTTCAATAATTTTTCCTTAACCCCACAGGCTGGGCCTCATCCTTGGGCAATTGAAAAATTTGCATCAGCAGCTAAATACCCTTCTGCCAACATTATAGCACAGGTTTGTGTGGTCATCATTTGAACTTTTTGAGTATAGTAAATGTTCGACATGTTTCTTTGGTCATTTCAGCAACTATTTCTGCAGGATCTTTTTGCTTCTGGATTTATTAAATCTGCTACAGATTTCCAAGTATACAAGGAGGTTGCTGGGCTATCAGGCCTCGACTTTGCCTACACTGATAACAATGCTGTGTATCACACTAAGGTGTCGTAGTATTTACTGTTTCCACTCCTCATTCTTGTTCTTATCTGAAAAGCATTTGAGTTCCATCCATCTTCAGTTTACCCAAAAAAAATTACACTTTTTCCGCCTTTTCCGGTGGAGATTGAAGCATTAACCTTGCAACCTTGCTAGGGATAGACGTAAGTCAATTAGATATTGTTTATGGGGAAAAGGTCAAGTAGATAGCCTATAACAGTTCGGGTTCCATTCGAATGTGCAGGAAAGAAGAAACTGTGTTGAATATCAAGGTGTATATTTGTTAGATTGATGGGTAGCAGAATGTTTTCAGTATGCTGTTGCATGCTTTTCACGCTCCTGGCATTTTGTTGCAAGTGCCAGAGCCCTCTGTCAACTAAAAAACTGATTATTAATGATTATAATAATGATAGTGAAAGAATAATATTGTTAATAATAGTATTGTATTGTTATAGATCTTATAAATGTTTTGAACTTTTGTTGCTGTAAATGGGTGTTTATTGTGAGAAAGTAGGGAAACGCAAATAACTCAATTGCATGGCCATCTTATACGTTACTGTTTTTATATGAGATTTCTTGGTGCAGAATGACAAATTAGAGCTTTTGAAGAGTGGATCACTTCAGCATCTTGGAGACAACATGCTGGCTTTTCTGATCCAGGCTGCTTCATCCTCTGATATTCAGATGAATAAAGCAAATACAGAAGATGGAAACACCATCCACGAAAGTGCCGTATTCTTTGACATATTGGTACTAATCTATTGGACTCTGAAATTGTGTTTGGATTCCTGCATTATGAAGTTTGACCCATATGTTAACTGAAGTTTGCATTTATTAATTTCAGGGTACCTATATGGTTGTCTATAAGCAACGGTTTGCGAGCATGATGCAAAATTCAGTCTTAATGCAGTCACTTCTAATTTGGTCCACTTCATTACTTATGGGTGGTTATCCAGCGCTAGTTTCACTCGGCTTGTCATGTCTTAGTGCTGTCCTTATGTGGTCCCTCTCAATAGGATTCTCGCTTCTTGTCGCTTTCATTCTACCTCAAATAGCCTCCTCACCGGTGCCATATGTTGCTAATCCATGGCTGGTAATTGGTTTATTTGCTGCTCCTGCACTCCTTGGGGCACTGACTGGCCAACATATTGGTTATCTAATCCTTAGAGCGTATCTATCAAATGTCCACTCCAAAACAAAGCAACAACCATCAGCTGTTCAAGCTGTACGAGTCAAGCTAGAGTCTGAGAGGTGGCTGTTCAAAGCTGGTTTCATTCAGTGGCTTGTTATACTGGCTGCTGGTAACTATTTCAGCGTTGGATCATCCTATCTAGCCCTTTTCTGGCTAGTTCTCCCAGCATTTTCATGTAAGATAAAGCCGACCACCTCTGAGAGAGTTAAATTCTTTGAACGGAATAGAGCTATGAAAGTGTTCTTTGGTGCATAATGATTCCTAAACCGTTATTCTGATAAAGCTAAATCTTTTTTCTTCCTTTTGCTGGACTGGTAAGCTAAATCTTAGATCAAGTATTTCATGATATTTTTTTGAACTATTTCTTGTACCATGTTATTCCAGATGGCTTGCTTGAGGCAACTTTGACCCCAGCTCGGTCACCAAGGCCACTCAAACTTGCAACACTACTTATGGGATTGGCTATACCAGTTTTGATTTCTGCTGGCACTTTTATTCGCTTGGCTGGTACAGTAATTGGGATGGTTGTTCGGTTTGATAGGTAAAACTGAGAATACTTTTAGAACATGTGTTATGAAAAACACCTTTTAAGTTCCGCTCATGCCGTTTTATGTTTATTAATGTAATCACTGCATTTAGGATGAAGCTCTATGTTAGTACTAGATGCCAAGGGAGAGGATTATTACATTATCCCTTGACTGCTCATGTCGTCTTATTCCTTCCTGACATAGGAAAGATGGAGAATCATTTGGGTTCTGGTTGTCTGATTAAAACCAAGAAGGTTTCAGCATTCTTTCATTTTAAAAAATATTTTGAATTCTAATGATTGCATTCTTTCAAAATTGTGCAGGAGCCCCGGTAGCACTCCTGAGTGGTTAGCAAGCGCGATAGTTTCTGCTTACATTGCTGTTGTCACATGCCTGACTCTTGTGTATATGCTTTCATATGTTCATCTTTCAGGTATGCAATTGTATCCTCTCTATTTGTGTTCTTAGAATATGACAGGGCATTGTTGCATATAGTTGATTGCATGTTTTCACAGACAAAATAGAAGCAGAGGCAAATCATGGTTTGGTACAAATAATCTCAGTTGACCTTCAAGGCTTTGGTAGTTGAGGAAAGTCCACTAGACAGTGATTGGTGAATTGTAATGTACCTGCCCTTACATGTTTGAGAACATATTTTCAACAGTTGAAACAGAAAATAAGTTTACACTTTGGCCTTTTTTTGCTAGTATTTATAGCATTTGAGATTGAGAGGCTAGATATTGGTGTGGGGTATCAACTTGGTTTGCAGACTGGATGCATATTTCTGGATCTTCAGTATCACTGCATTTTAACTGTAGAACTGGGAAGATTTAGTAGTATGTTTTTGTATTATTCTACCAAAAAAGTTTTTAACTCCATTTCCTGTTGAAACTTGATCTCCTAGGTGCCAAAAAGTCAATTATCCTGGTAACAAGTTTGGTCTTCGGTATTTCACTTGTTCTTGTATTATCTGGAGTCACTCCACCCTTTACCGAGAACACTGCTAGGGCTGTAAATGTAAGCTTTTCCCACTAGTTAATTTCACTGTTGTTTGTTCATGGTCTTCTTCATGTCATTTGAGAACACCTACTGTTTTATGGTGGTAGGTGGTGCATGTGGTGGATACAATGGCAAGACAGGGCGGAAAGCAAGATCCTATTTCATTTGTTTCTCTGTCTTCCGTAACTCCTGGAAAGCTGACGAAAGAGGCTGAAGAAATTAGTGAAGGATTTGTATGTGGCAGAGACAAAGTTGTCGATTTCGTCACTTTCTCGGTTAAGTATGGTTGTGTGACATATGATGAAGCCGAACATGGGTGGAGTAACTCTGATGTTTCGGTGTTGCATGTCGATAGTGATAACAAGGTGGGAGAAGAAAGATTTACACAAGTCTCATTTGCTGCAAAAGCCTCCACTCGCTGGTCACTTGCTGTAAATATGGAAGAAATAGAAGATTTCATTCTCAAAGGTATGTTTAGAAAACTCTTCCATCTCCTGCAATCTCATACTTTTGTATTCTTGTGTCTAATGTGTTTAAGCATCACCTATATGTCTTGATTCTGCTCTTCAAAGGTTTATTGTCCCCTACTTCTATGCCACGGGTTTTCTCTATGTTTATTCAATGTCTTCCTGGCTATCTATATATTTAGGAAAGGGGGAATAAGGGAAATGGTCATAAAATGACAGTTAGTTAGTAGTGGATGCGAGTGATTATTTTCTTTCTATGATATTGCATCTGGATTCAGATATCTGTTTATACAGCACTGTGCTTGTGATCTTATGACCGAGACCAAATTCTAGTTCCGGAAGCATGTTTAATCTGTTCTTGAAATGAGACGGTGGATACAAAAACCATTTTGTCGATCAGGTAGAAACTTGAAATAGAATGGTGAATGTTAAACCCATTTTGCTTCAATCAGTTGGTGTCTGCTGGTGAGAAGTTGTCAACTGAACCTAACAGTCTAAGTGGTCAAGTGTCAGCAAAAATAAGTAATTCGTTGTGAAACGATTGGATGGAGTTGGCTTTTCTTTTTATATTCAGAAAATAAGTGAGTTAATGTGTGAAATGACTAAAATATACTTGCATGCTTTTGGAGTTCCATAGAAAACAAAAATGGCTGAACTGATAGAGTAATGTTAGCTCCGGGTCATTTTTAATTTAATGGAGGCACCAACTAGGTACTAATATAGTGATGCTTAGATTTTGGCTTCCGAGGTGTCTGTCAACTAGAACTTATACTTCCATGTAATAGAGAAGTAGACTGTCTACTCAACTACCGGTACAGTGTCTCCCCATGGTACTAAATTCAGTCATGTTGTGGTATGGTGGAAATGCAGGAAACTCTGAAGAAGAATTGGTCCCATCAGGCAGCAAGAGCAGCACCGATGGATGGCATATCATTCAGTTTGCAGGAGGGAAGGACTCACCAAGAGACTTCAAACTGACCCTCATCTGGGCAAAGAAGTCCAAACAATCAACCGAAAATGCCAATAAATCGGCGGAGGAGCAGCAGCCTCTACTGAAGTTGAGAACAGATGTTCAGCGAGTGACGCCGATAGCTAAGAGAGTGCTGTCAAAGCTCCCACCGTGGTGTTCTCAATTTGGCAAGTCCACTTCTCCTTACAATCTAGCTTTCTTGACCAGCCTTCCCGTTAACTTCTAGGATTCGTGTCTAATTCTCTGGCCATAGTTTCTTAGAAGAAAGGCAGTTTTGTATTTCGCTGTAAATTTCGAGCAACCCAACAAGGATATTACCAGTTGGTATGAAATGTACGTTTGCTGGAATTCTGTAATCTGGGAATCAACTTCACCTACATGCATGGACAGTGAAAATAGGAGTTTCATTTGTAGATCTCGTAAAAGACAAAATCGTACTTCTCTTGCTTGATGGTGATAGAACACCAACTTGTAGCCGCTGGAGGCTTGCTTTGTTTTACTTTACAAAGGAAAAATTCCCTAAACAAGGAGTCTTGTAGTCTACGAAAGCTCTCTGTGGTTTCATTAATAATACAAGTCTTATCGTTTCCTTATAATTGACAGCTCAATAAGTGACAGTTGGCCCCTTGATTTCCTACAGTAGTGAAATGAAAGCGCAAGATCACCTGTGTAATTAAGTTTCGGAAACACTAAATGGGAGTTAAAGGACCCCATTGTCTTAAACACAGCCTTAAACTCGTTTACCTTTCTTATTACCTTCTTTAAGTTCCAAGCAGGAGTTTCTCTTAAATGGTGATCCCTTCTCCGACCTGTGAAACTGGTAAAAGAACTCACATAGGCTAGGTATCCCTTTTCCCCTGAGCCAGCCATGATGATCTTTCTTCTCTTCCTCTTCCCCTACATCATTTTCCACCTCTGCAATATCGTGTTCCGAAAAAGAACACATTCCTGCTGCTACATGCTTCATTATGAGTGCTACAAGGCCACTGAAGACAGGAAGCTCGACACCGAAACCTGCGCCAAGATCGCGTTGAGGAACAAGAACCTTGGGCTGCAAGAATACAGGTTCCTCCTCCAGACCATAGCCAGCTCTGGCATTGGCGATGGAACTTACTGCCCAAGAAACATCCTCGAAGGCAGGGAAGCAGCTCCAACGCTCTCCGACTCCCTCTCGGAAGTCGATGAAATCGCCTTCGGAACCCTCGACGCCCTCTTCGCCAAAACAAATGTCTCCCCAGCCGACATCGACATCTTAGTGGTCAACGTGTCTATGTTTTCCCCTGCACCTTCTTTGACTTCCAGGGTTGTCAACAGGTACAAGATGAGGAAAGACATCAAGACGTTCAACATATCTGGGATGGGATGCAGCGCGAGCATCGTGGCAGTCGATTTAGTCCAGCAACTGTTCAAGACACGCAACAAGGCTTTGGCCATTGTTGTGAGCACAGAGTCGTTTGGATCTAATTGGTACTGTGGGAAGGAGAGATCCATGATTCTGTCAAATTGCCTGTTTCGATCCGGCGGATGTTCAATGCTGTTCACGAACAACGGAGCACTGAAGGGCAAAGCAGTGATGAAACTGAACCAAATGGTGAGAACCCATTTGGGAGCAGATGATGATGCGTACAACTGCTGCATTAAAATGGAAGATAAGCTTGGATATGAAGGTTTTCTCCTCACAAAGGGACTCACTGAAGTTGCTGCTAGAGCCTTAACGTTGAACCTTAGGGTTCTGGTCCCCAAGATACTCCCAGTGAAGGATCTCCTGCTCTATGTCCTCCACACTTACAGTCGAAAGAAGGCACAAGGCGGGGATACTCCATCACCTGAAGCTTCAGGACAAGGGCTTAACCTGAAGGCAGGAATTGATCACTTCTGCATACACCCTGGTGGGAGGGCAGTGATTGATGGGCCTGGGAAGAGATTGGGACTGAACGACTACGATCTCGAGCCATCTCGAATGGCATTGCACCGATTTGGGAACACCTCGGTTGGTGGGCTCTGGTACGCGTTGGGATACATGGAAGCCAAGAAGAGGCTGAAGAGAGGTGACAGGATACTAATGATCAGTCTCGGTGCAGGTTTCAAGTGTAACAACTGCGTGTGGGAGGTGACTAGGGATTTGGGAGATGGGAATGTTTGGGGAGATTGCATTGATTCCTACCCTCTTCCTCCACTCAAGGTCAGCCCTTTCCTGGAGAAGTATAGCTGGATTAATGATGAGATTCTCGACCATGTGGATATGACTGCTGCACTACAAAAATTTTGAAGGCTTTTTTTATGGAAGGGTACAAGTTACATACCTGGTTTAATTTTCATCATTAAGGAATGAGTTTAGGTTTCATTATTTGTTGAGTTTATGTGTTTCATTCAGCACTGCGCATCGAAGTTGTATCTGTTCTGGGTTCTTTATGTTGGATTCAACATTCTTCTAAGCTTGTTCTGTTCTATATGTTGGATACAAACTAATACATAATTTTTACCGCAAGGACTCCACTAGCTTCACTCATCAACCAAAAACCAGAAAGTTCAAGAAAGGTCTGAACTTCGCCGTTTCCAGCTAATGGCCCTAGCCAATTCGATGCGTGACTGACAATAGCAGATTATCGTTGGGACACAATTTGGTCCGATAAATCACGGTCTAGACCAAATCAATCGAGAACAAAATATCAAAACACCATTCTTTTTATCTTTCTTTTATACATGAGAGGTGGGTACATTTTATTAGCCCAAAAGTTTGTTACTGTTCCATTATCTTCCGTTTAGTGCCCAACTTCCTACAGAATTCCTCCCGCGAACACTTCAGTTGGCTTCCAATGAAAAACTCCTCGCCCACTCGAGCGTTATTGCCCGCTCCGACCCAGCGTAACCTTACCTCTGCTCTGCTGCACTGACCCATCACCATCAGGCCACCATGCTTTTCACCTGCTGCTCATACCACTCTACTGTACTTCTCCCCTCTACCTCCTCTTCGTAGATGCTGGTGCACGTAATCCCCCATACTCCTTTTCACAATTGCTTGAACATGGCACCAGCCATGCATTGTACTGACCAGTCAACAACTCAACCACTGTGCACAGAAGAAGCCCTATCCCCTTATTCTCACCTCTTATCGGAATTGGAATTGGGATTTTCTCTCTCCCTCTCTCTCTCATCCCATATTCCACCCACCTCCAGTTCTTCTTCCGCCAGCTCTCTTTTGCGCTCTTACCTGCCTGCCTTTGCCAATGAAATTCTCCCTCTGGCCAAAATTATGCATTCGCTCTCCTGAAGATGGAGATAAGGATGACTGTGGAAATGACGTTAAGAGGACGGTGTTGTCGGCTGCGGGTGAACCGTTTCAGAAAATGGATGAGGGAGTCCATGGAGGTGGAGGCGGCAACGGAGGATGATCAGGAAGAGGTAGGAGAGGGCGGCAATGGAAGATTGGGGGTGGAGCTAAAGAGGAGGATTTCCTTTGTCTCCGTATCAGCACCAAGAGGTATGTTTGCTCATTCTAACCAGAGATTTCATTGTTCCATTCCAATTGATGCTTTGCTTTTTGCTGCACCGCCTGGTGATTGCCATTTATCCTTCTTCTAAGCAGAAAAGAAGCTGAACCTGAGAAGAGTTGAAAATAGCTCAAGCACAAGAAGGCCTTGTATGAAGATGAAGAAAGAAGAGCTCGTTGGAGGTAAAAAGCCGGATCCATCTGCAATAATTCCACTGCTGCTGCTCTTCACATGGGCAACAAAGTTCTACCCATCAGCAGCAAAGGAAATGTTGCTACCAAATCTGAGAAGAATGGGAAGTTCCTTGGGCGCAAGGTAGCATCTTTTTATGTATGAACATTTTGACCAAAAATTATGTCTTGTATGTGATCTTTTTATATCTCTGCCAGGTTCTACCCCAATGCTGAAATCGAGGAGCCCTGAAAGAAATGCAAGAGGATTCAGACCTAAAGGGAAAAATTATGTCTTGTATGTGATTCAGCTTCCCATCTGAATCAGACCTAAAGGGAAAAATTGGTTTAGCTTGAGATGGGAAGCTAAAAGCAGCTCCACCACTTGCTCAACAGTGTCCTCACTTCATTGGTTAGCGAGTGCATATTACTACGAATTCTCTCCCACAACATTTTAATGATTTTTTTTTTACCATTCTTGGAATTATGTCTAATGAGTTATATATTATTAATTGTTTCATGTCATACAATAATAACATTGTTATATTCAACGACTCACCGCGAAGCGCAAGCGAGCGGACATATCTAGTTTAATAAAAAAACTCAAAACATCGCAAATTAAAATTTCTCAAATGCAACGCAATTATCCCGAGATTAACAGTCAATTCTCGTACACCATCGTCAATGGAGTTTCCCAATCACACCAAGGCCCACCATCGGTTTCTAGTGTCTCATCCATTTGCACTATTGACAATACCGCTTGTTGTTCTTCAGTTCAGTGAGTGAATTATTTTTAAACTGCGTGGTTCCATTTGGAACCACCACCAATCGAAAACGACACGAAAAGTTGACCACATCTCAGACCACAAGCTTTGCGGTGCAGTTTGTCTGGACGGACAAAGCGGTTCACTGCGACAAGGCCTGGCCCTAGCCCCACTATCATCTGTTGATGCAATCGTCTTCAGCAACTCGCGCAACAATGTCGGGCAGCTGTCCTCTAAATGTTTGAAACCTTCTGATTTCATCATCACTGTCATGCAGAGGCTAACATATATTATTACTTGCCATGATTAATTGAGGGTTGAGTTCCATAGCAAAGAAATATTGGGAAATGGACATAACTTAAACTTAGGATACATGAACTGCAGACGTACCTGCCAAGTTGATGGGATGTGCTGCAAATTTCAAGCAGACAGCTTTGAGATGTGCGCACTGATGCTGCTCAGCCAATGCTAGTGTGGTGGCCACCGATACGGCGGTAAGCTCCTTGCATAACTTGGATTCACAGAACACCTTCAACCTGTCCAAGTTGTAGAGGTCAGCAGCAACTAACAGGTGTTGGGTGACGTTGGCAGCACCTGACATGGATGCCGAGAAGCCAACAATATCATGCACATCAGGAAGTTGGTCTGTGTATATGAATCGGAGAATCACCTGCAAATTAGAGGGGACATACAGTGTAAGGAAAATGTTGGGATATGGATTAATATGCCTACACGATTATAAACGGGCTCAAGTCCACCGTAAGGCGTCCCGGGCCCAAGCCTACTTAAGGAGACTCAAGCTCTATATGAGGAGGTCAAAGCCTCCAAGCCAAAGGATCCTCTCTTTACCCTTCTCACTTCTACCCTAAGGTCTCTCTAAACTCTCTATCTCTACATACCATAAACCGCTTCCTATATCGTACTAACTTGAGCGTCGGAGCGTAGATCCCGAAGGCCACCCCCACCTTACAGATTCTTCCACTCTTCAGGAGATCGGATAAAGGAGTCCAGATCGGAGCCCCATAACCGCATATTACATTCTAGGCTCAAACAGAAAATATAACAAAATGCAAGCCTACAGAGAAGGGCATAATAATAAAGTCACCTTGAAGATGGAGGGAAGAATATCATCCACTGTAACTTCATTCAAGTTAGGATTCCCTGCTGGTCCAAAGAACTGGGCTCTGAAAACAGGGGATCGCGCAGCAAGAATGGACTTGTGAGCTCGAAATGCCTCATCACCAACGTGGAACACAACGTCCCAACCAACTTCAGATTCCAGTAGCTCCTTGAAACCGTGGCCAAAGTTGGAGTCGGGTACGGTAATGGAACCCTGCTTGGCACCTTCAAGCCGATTCGCAAGAACAAGAACTCGAACAGTGCCTCGAATGATGATGCAATCATTTTGTACATACTTGCTTCCTTGATTTGCTTCCTTGATGTCTTGAACCCTGCATTGCAAAGACGACAGACAGACAACAATATATACGAGCTCGAAGCAAGCTTTCAAGAGCAGCTTCTTGATGGAGGCATTTGATTAATGAACACATTACCACTCGTATCCTTTCTTCATAGAGGATGGCCGGCCGGACAAGCCCACTGGTAACTCTTTCCCTCTCTTGTCCAAGAAGGTAAACTCATACGAGGCCCTAATGCCCGAATCACCAGCGTCGCTGACCAAACGAATGCCCACCGAAAAGAAGCCAGATTTAGAGCTTCCATCCACGAGTTTCCACCCATCCGGGTAAAACCGGATCTCCCAGTCATGGCCACCCACACAGAAAATATCACTGGACATGTACTTCCCAACTCCGATACCTTTCCCGAGAGAAAAACCCTTTACAATGAACTCGTGCGACCCAGTCACCGTCTCGATTACTGACTTGGAGGAGCAAGAGCAATTGCATGGAGTGCGAACATTACAATAATAAGGATAATATTTTGGAAGCGAGTATGGAAACTTTGGAGCAAAATCAGAGCCAGTTCCGATGAAAGTAAGGTGAGTGTAAAGGGGGTAAATTCTATGCCTTACGGTTTTTCAAATATCTGGCTTGAGTATTTTCAAGTATTGATTTACGAGATGTATGTGCAGTATTTGATTCTTGTTTGAGATTGATTATATATGCTTTGTTTGAGCTATGATTTGAAGTGAATGTGTTTGAGATTATTAGTTACTTTGAAATTTTACGAGTATAAGTTATTGTTAAAGTTTAAGAACAAGTTCCTTTTTAAGAAGTAACTCACCTTCAATGGAGGTGAAGTCGTTTTAAGTGTTTTTAGTCATTAGCGTCCGTCTGTTGCCATTTGAGATATTTAAGTTGAGCAGCAGTTATGCTCTTGAGATTTTTAAGATGAGCAGCAGTTATGCTCTTGAAAATCGTGGAAGAAGAGTCGTACACGATAAGTTTAAGTTTAAGAAAAGCCTGGAGGGCTTCTCATACGTATGAGTTGGGCAACCGGACTAGCTAGCGAGGGATCCCCGTGTCAGTCAAGTATTTAAGTTGGGATTTAAGCTTTAAGAATGGAGAGTAACAGTTACTCCCATACAGTTTTAAGAGTTAAGCTTTTCAGAATGGAAGTACAAACAACTTCCCTCATATTGAGTTTAAGTGTTTGAGAAGAAGTGTAAAATTATTAGAAAGTTTAAAACGTAAGGGTGTAGATTGACCCCAACTCACTCACCAGGCCTTAGTAAAGGAATGAGTGAGAACCAGATCGATAGCAACTAGCTAGAAGAGCAGTTAGAGAGCAGCGAGATCGATGGAACCGTTCTAGGCAAGCCAGCTAGAGGAGGATAGTACAAGCGTAACTGAAGTCTGAAGGTGTCAGAGATCGAATTCGAGCAGATAACAAAGTAGAGTTTTAGTTATTCCTTTACGTTTATGAGTATAGACCGGAGATTCATATTAAGATGCTATGGTTGAGGTTTGCCCAAGTGTTAGGGCTTACTCTTAAGAGATTTCAGTTTACTTCAGCAAACGTTAAAGTTATTTGTAAAAAGCTTTCGCTATTTTTCCAACTCTTTTCAGTTCTTATTTTGGTTTACGATTTATCAAGGGTATTTTGATAAAGTTAGTGTCCAGCCGGACTAGGGTGTTACACGACCTCCCTTTGCATTTTCCCCTGTCCGTAGGGGTGGTAAACGGTAATCCGGTAAACGGTTTACCGGCGGTATCGGCAGCCGAGCAGGAAGTTGGGGGAGTCGGTTTACCGGACACGGTATCGGTAAATACCGACGGTAAATCGGCATTACCGATACCGAATTCCCCCTCCCTACTCCCTAGTGTTGCTCTGCATTTTGTTGCTTTACCCCCACAAATATAAAATATTACATACATGAATGTAAGTATAGGCCTAAAAAATATTGTAAATAAGAGTTAATAATAAATTATTAATTACAAAAATGATGAAAAAAACTCAAAAAAATCAAAATATTACAACATCACCCCACTTCCAGAAATTCGGTTCGGTAAACCGACCGAAATCGCTTCTCACGGTATTTCGGTAATACCGGTTTGTAACCGTTTATCGGTAATTGGTAAACCGGTTACAAACCGGTATCGGAAATCGGTAACCAGTTTGGCCAACTTTGGTATACCGAAACCGATAAATTCGGTAAACGGTAAATTGTTTACCGACCGAATCCCACCCCTACCTGTCGGGTATTTAAGCGCCTGACCGGGTATTTTCATCTGACAGCTCCTCTGGCTCCATACTTCCACTCTCCGAACCGAAACTCGTTCTCACGCCTCTATATCCACGCCAAGTCCTGAAATATGACATAAACGAACAACCTAGCGTGAAATCGGCCTAAAACACGAGAATCGACTCTTAAACGGTTTTGGAAATGGTGGTCAAAACATGTGCAAATAATGGTCTATCACCCCCTAATGCACAATTAGTATGACTAAATCGTAATAAGATAATCATATATTGAATTTTGAATCGATGGCGCAAAAGATTGTACTAACTCAAGTAGAGTTTTAGCTACTCGGTACTTCATATTCGCATGTAGATAGCTACTTCAAAGAGTTCGTATATTGATTGAGTTTGTTGAACTTTACCTAACACAACTATGATATCACTCGCAAGATATGATGCTTTTTGGAGAAATTGGGAGAATATGTTGGTGACATCAAACCTAACATGGATATGGTTGGATTTTAAGCAACATTTATGGTCAATAGATTAGACATGAAAAATATATCTAGCATTCCCATAACTTGGTAGGAAGTAGTGAATAATTAGGAATTGAAAGCTAGAAACAAAGTAGATTTAATAAATAACTGCAAATGATAATGTGTAAAAGAAAACAAATGCTTAGAAAATAGCTAGGCATGAGAGATTGGGAGTGCTACATTAAACCCTCAAAGAGAAAGCAAGTATCCATTAATAGTTAGCTGTGGATATTAAAATAGCTAACTATTATGAATACTATATACTGGTGATTAATACTTGGAACTTAGCTTGAACATTGCATCATGCTGATAAAAATTATTTCATTAATTACACTATTGAAATAAGGGGTCGTATGGAAGTCTTGATTGTTTTTGTGAGATTGTTAAAATGAATACATTTTTCATAATATATACATATGTTTTTATTTTTTTTCATACACAATCATGAATTATTTGCTTGATTTGACTAAACTATCACTCAAATTGAATGATTAAACAATTTCGAATTTTAGCATAGACTGTCGAGATAATTGGTATCGGTGTTTGTCATGTTTATTTTTCTTGAAATGTATGGTACCACTGTTCTTATGTCGTCATTGAACACTTCTTCAACACTTCAATTCAATGTGCAATATTCCAACCATTGATATTTGTGTTGAGATTTTAAAATTATCTTTCATTTATAATTTAGAAAAAATTCTAAATTAATTATTAAAATATGAAATAGAAGTATCAAACACCACAAAATACTTATAGGAGACTTAGCGAGCTAACTAACCGTGATAAAAAAGTACTCTGTTTTTCATAATTTTAACTTCCTTCATTTTTTGTTTTCACTTTAACATTTTCAGTTTTTCACATATATCTTGCTAACATTTACTTTCTAGGAATTCACAAGTTTGCTCAGAGCTCCAAAAGAATGGCGGATGCCCAAGTTCGAGTCCTCTCCACAAGTTTAATTCAAGCAACGACAGTAACCACAGCTGAGCAGCAGCAGCAGAACAAGCTATCCTTTTCAGAGAGGATTCCCCTGACTCCATGCGACCTGCGCCTCATTCTGATCGGAACCATCCAAAAGGGCCTTCTCTTCCGCAAACCTACAAATCCTCAAATCGATCAAACGACCTTCATCCACAACTTGAAATCCTCCTTCTCCCGTACTCTATCCTTATTCTACCCTCTCGCCGGCCGTCTTTCCGCCGACGAACACCCCGACGGCACTGCCTCTGTTTACATCGACTGCAACAATGCCGGAGCCATGTTCGCTCACGCCGTAGCTGACGGCGTAGCCGTCGCTGACATCCTCGAGCCTCTCTATGTCCCACCGATTCTCTGGTCCTTTTTCGCACTCAACTGACTCCGAAGTTACCACGGTTTCAGCGAGCCGCTTTTCGCGGTTCAGGTCACGGAGCTCGCCGACGGGATCTTCGTCGGCTGCACGATTAGCCACGCGGTGGCCGACGGATTCACGCTCTGGAGGTTCATGAACTTATGGTCCCAAATCTGTCGCTCTGGTTACTCGGACGAGATCTCCCGCTCCGATCAAACTTTCACCAGGCACTGGTTTCTAGACGAGAAGCATCTCCCAATCAGGATCCCGTGGACGATGATCAGAGATTTCAAAGACGATTTCGTCCGGCCGCCGGTGAAGGAGCGGGTCTTCCACTTCACCCGCGAGAAACTCTCGGACCTCAAATCACAAGCCCAATTAGCCCAATCCACCGAGCGAATCTCGTCTCTGCAAACCCTAATTTCCCACATCTGGCGAGCCGTGATTCGGAATCGAAACAATCCAGATCCAGACCGGGAGACGCGATTCAAACTGGCAGTCGGCCTTCGCTCGCGCCTGGAGCCGAAATTCCCCGAGAATTACTTGGGGAACGCCATGGTGATCCGCTTCGTCGTCCTGAAGGAGAGGGATCTGCTGCTGCTGGAGGGGGAGAAGGGGCTGGGACACGTGGCGGCGGCGGTGAACCGAGTGGTGGCTGGGCAGGGGGAGGAGGAGATGATGGAAGAGCTGGAGGCTTGGATCGAGAGCCCCCAGATCTCGGGGTTGGCCAGGGTGGCGAAGGGGACGCTGTTGCTGAGTAGCTCGCCGAGGTACGACGTGTACGGGAACGATTTTGGGTGGGGGAAGCCGGCGGCGGTGAGGAGTGGGGCCGGGAACAAGTTCGACGGGAAGGTGACGGTGTTTCCCGGGGTGGAAGCAGGGAGTATGGACGTCGAGATTTGTTTGTCGCCGGAGACGTTGGAGCGTCTGGGCAGTGATCAGGAGTTCATAGCCGCTACCGGCGTTTGAGCTGTACGGATTTCCGTTCTCTTTAATTATTGGCTGGTGTGGTGACTGGTGAGTGTGCGTCAAATGTTAACTGATCAATCCAAATAAGAAACTGTAGCACGTGCGTACGTAATCTAAGCTGATTTGATGAATAAACAGATAATGAAAGGGTTAATTTCATGGTTGGTCACTGACACTACAAAAGCGTTCATGTTTGGTCACTAGAAAAATTTAAATCCAACTTTGGTCACTAACTTTACAAAAACCGTTCATTTATGGTCACTCTCCGTTAGCTGCCGTCCAACGCCGTTAACGAAGTCCATTAAGTGATGACGTGGCTGACGGATTCGCCTAATCAGCACCTTTTGACCCCAAAATTGACTGACCCGACCCGCCACGTCAGTTAAACCCTCCATCTCTGCAAAACCTAACCAAACCTCTAACCAAACCAGACCACACCCGACCCGACCCAACCCACCAACAAAAATGACCCACCCGCTACTAATCAAAACCTAATTTCTAAAACCTACAGGACATTCCCCTTCTCCTCTCCATCCCGCGCCGCCTTCATCTCTCCCGCGAAACTTCCTCTCCGCTCGTTTCATCGGCAACGAAGGAGGAATGGAGCCCGCGCCACAGTGTGGTTGACTCCTTTCTCCAGGGCGCCGATGTTGATGGAGAGGTAGAACCAGTTGAAGAAGGATCCCTTCCTCGCCTTCTCCCCCGGGTCGGAGTCGTCGAACTGGTCCGCCCCGAACGACGACGTGCAGGGCTTGATCCCGCCGGTCCCCAACGCTATCAGGTACAGCCCCACGAAAAAGACCGATGTCTGGGACCCGGTCGCGTGGCAGACGGGGCTCGCGGAGTAGTAGTCGCAGGTTGGTTTCAGGCCGTGGATTGATGCTGACAGTGTGAGCAGAGCCATCCCCTGCAGAAGAAAAAAAATTGTGAGTGAGGAGGGTTCTACCTCTCCATCTAATTCCCTCTCCTAAACCAAACTCACATCTCCTCAAAACCATACTTCCTCTACACTCACTGTAGTCAAGCAACATCAATCAAGGAGACAAAGAAAGAAACATACAAACAATAAAGTCCATCCATCCACGGACAGACGGCAAACTTCCCCCCACTGCCTTTTGACTTTCTCCTCCTCATCCTCCATCTCCCCCCACTAAACAACAAAACTGAGGCCTCTTCCCCTTCTTTCCCAAATCTCCATTAACTATTATTCCAACAACAACTAATTACAAACCCAACCACAACAAACCCTTCCCTTCCTTCTTTCTCTCCATCTCTGTCTTCTCTGCTTAATCATTTTTGTTTGCTTCATCAACTTTTTCTTAATCCAACCTCGAATCGCAGCCCTGGCCAACCCTTGGTGGACCGGCCCGGTCGGCGGCCTCCCGGGCGGCTTCGACCTCCACCATCACCACCACCCTTCCCTCCACAATTCCGCCCTCAACGACGAAGACGACGACCACAACAGCGGCGGCAGCGGAAGCGGCGGCGGAGGCGAGCCCAAGGAAGGCGCAATCGAAGTCACCAGGCGAGCCCAAGGAGAACAGTCAACCACACTGTGGCGCAGGCTCCATTCCTCCTTCGTCGCCGATGAAACGAGCGGAGAGGAAGTTTCGCGGGAGAGATGAAGGCGGCGCGGGATGGAGAGGAGAAGGGGAATGTCCTGTAGGTTTTAGAAATTGGGTTTTGATTAGTGGCGGGTGGGTCATTTTTGTTGGTGGGTTGGGTCGGGTCGGGTCGGGTCTGGTTTGGTTAGAGGTTTGGTTAGGTTTTGCTGAGATGGAGGTTTTAACTGACGTGGCGGGTCGGGTCAGTCAATTTTGAGGTCAAAAGGTGCTGATTAGGCGAATCCGTCAGCCACGTCATCACTTAACGGACTCCGTTAACGGCGTTGGACGGCAGCTAACGGAGAGTGACTATAAATGAACGGTTTTTTGGATTTAAATTTTTCTAGTGACCAAACATGAACGCTTTTTGTAATGTCAATGACCAACCATGCAATTAACCCGATAATGAAATACCTGTTTCTGTTTGTGGAAGGCAGGTGGCAGTTCGGTTAACCGGCCAGTTATCCACTAACCGGTAACCGAAGTAATCGAACTTCGGTTGGTTATCAGAGGCTGGACGAAATAGTTTTTGCTCTTAAAAGTGGTTCGGTTAACCGATAACCGATAAACCGAAACCTATTTCGGACGGTTTTCGATAGGAGGAGTGGTTATTTTGGTTAACCGGTAACCGACCAACCAATTACCGGTTATAACCAAAATAACCGAACTGTCACCCCTTGACCCACCCATGGTTTAAAATGCGAAATATGAATATATAAGATTTTTGTAATTAAAATGAAGGGGAATATTGGTCGATTAAGTGTACTATCCCAATGATGAAAGGCTTATTTTGTTAAGATGCGGGTTACGAGGTGCAAAATTGAATGAAACATGGTGAAATGATCATCGTAGCTCCTGGAACTTTTGCTGGATAGCCCCTCTCTTTGGTACAGCTGCAGATCCGGGCCTAAAACAAATTAAATGATTGACTATGTGATTTGAAGTTTTGAATCTATGAATATATAGTTATTAATAAACATATTTTTCATTTTATTACACTTCATTTTGTTGATGTAATTTTAACATAAATGTAATTATAAACGTGTAGTCCTTATCCCAAATTCTACAAAATTTAAAATTAAACTTATTGGCTACCCCTTATCCCCTAGTATTCTAACACACGACTTATCGTAAATATTTTAGTCACCTTTTTTATTCTTTTCTTCTACGGAATCTTGAGAATTATTACTATTATTGTATTAAGAATGGTGAGTTATTCTTTATGGACTAAAAAGAACTGATGAATTAGTTCAGTTGATAGTGAAGACTAAAGAGAGCCTATCATATTCGCATGCCTATTTGCTCCTCAAGGCTGTAATGATTTTACCGCTTGCAACTCTAACTGCTGAAAGAGTTTTTTCAGCTTTGGGTTACATAAAGAACTAATTTCGGAATTGAATAGGCGATCATTTCGTGAATGATTGTCTAGTAGGATGTACTGAAAGAAATTTGTTGAGCATTGTACTCAAATGAGTGTATTGTACAATATTTTTCAGAATATGAAAACATATAGTAGAATTTTGTTGTAATTTGTACTAGTCAAATATTTTCCTACTTAAAATTTTATTATTGTTAATTATTATATTAATTTAAATTTTGAGAGTACACACCTATATAAAATTCCTAGTTCTGTCACTAATCGCATTTATTTCAATTGACCATCCGCTTGACCATGAAGTCTTGCAATTTCTTTGGCGTACACAGCCTTGACTATTGCGTTGACCATGAAGTCTTACAATTTCTTTGGCGGACACGGCCTTGACTTATGCACAATTTGCGTTTTTCTCCTTCCTAAAAAAAATGTATTTGTAGACCATATTTAGTGTAACCACCAACTTTTTTTACTCATCAAAATATTGTCGGTGTTGTGTGTAACCCTCACGATTTTGTTTTTCGATGTATTATGGTGACTTCTTAGAAGGTCATACTTCTCTGTACAGTTCCATGTTGAGCACGTTCCATTTCAATCTAAATGCATCTTATCAGTTAATGATGAGTTGTTTCCTATGGACCATGGATCTCTTGTGTTTTGTCAGTATAGGACTTGTCTATGTTACATACACCCCTTTGAAACTTAACGTCCTCGTTAAAGTTTGCACTACCATTATTCATGAGGGACGCAAAAAAACTCGGTCTCTACTTATATCATCTCAACCTTATCTAACCAAAATATTATTTTTGGATACACATATGGTAGGTCACTCAATTATGCACTCTTTCATCCTAAATACGTTCAACTTTGGAACTGTCTCTTGCCTTGTCCATTTGTGATTTGCTCAAGGGTTAATTGCAAGGTTGGTCATTGGGTTTACTAAAAACGTTAATATTTGGTCACTACAAATATTTAATTACATTTGTGGTCACTAAGATTAGTTCAATAGTTCAAGATTATTTTCCGTTAGTCTCCGTTAATTTTTGCTGATGTGACAGTTAACCTTCATAGTTGACCGTTAAATGAGTGACCTGGCTATTAAAAAATAATAAAAATAAAATTTAATCTATTAAAATTTCCACATCATTACACATTCATTAAAAAATAAGAGGGTTCGAGTGCGAGAGCTCTCTGACTTCTCGCTCCGTCCTCCTCCAACTGAGATCGCAGCTCCTCCGCTCCACAACAACTATCGCAGCTACCGGAGACTAACCCTGGTGCACGAGCATCTTCTTCTCCTCCACTCGCCAGATTGGACTGGTTGAGTCTTCTCCTCCGCTCAGCGTATGGCGATTCAGCCTCAATCTCTAATCTGCGACTCTTCTCCACAAGACGATGGATATTAGAACTTGAGCTCTCTATTGTTGTTTCTTTGTTCTCGGATTAGGGATTTGTCAAGGAGATCGTTTGTTTCGCCCATTAGTTCGTTCCTCTGGCCTGAATCTGGTTGGGGTTTCCCTTAGATCCAAATCTTTGCAGTCGACATAATAAGATCCACCAGCTTTCGAGAACCCCATATTTTTTTAACTCAAGAAGGAGTAGGTGGTTTCAATCGAACCCACTACCGCTATTGTTCTGCTTGCGTCTCTTGTTGCTCCTAGCATTCCAACGAAGTCGCCGCCACCGCAGAGCAGAATAAGAAGACGACGAGCGAGCAGCGGGGGTTGGCGTAGAAGGGAGCATTAGTGAGGAGGGTAATTGTGGTGTGTTGAATTATCAGGGGTGATTAGGATTTTTTGTGTGGTTTCGGGATTGGATTTTCGGTAGTTCTTCTTTCGGCGCGGAGGTGATGGAGATTAAGTTTTATTTTTATTTTTTAATTGCTGTAAAAATGAGGTGGAAATTGTAAATGTTTGAATTTTATCATTTTAATAGTCACAACACTCATTTAACTGTCAACTATAAGAGTTGACTGCCACTTCAACAAAAATTAATGGAGAGTGACCAAACTTGAATTGTTGAACTAATCTTAGTGGCCATTAATGAAATTAAATATTTTGCACTTTTGCAGTGATCACACCTCACCCCGTGAACTCAAAGGTGCCTAGCTTGCTTGTTTCTGTTCCTCCGGCGTGAAATTGTTTTTCTCTGGTCCGGCCCTATAAAAATAGGAACGTTTTTAGTAAACACAGTGACCAACCTTGCAATTAACGGTAAACACACATGTGCGAAAACGTTGTGCGAGTGAAGCAGAACAAGACAGGGGGGAAATCAGCCGACAGCAGTTACCAGTTAGGCAGTTACCACACACAATTAATCCTGAAAGAAAACCCAGCAGCAGGGCAGGAAGAAAAGAATCTGGGGTTTCTTTTGGGTTGCAGAGGGAGGAGGGTGGGGAAGCAAAAAAGGGAACAAGCAAAGACAAAAACAGAATATCGAGAAATGCGGTCGTTGCCTTTGGGAATCTCTCTTCCTCCCACCTCTTCCCTCGATCCTAATCCCGCTCTCACGCTCAAGCGTCCTAACCATCACTCCTCTATTTTCCTCCATTCTCCTCCCAAATCAGGTGGGTTTCGGTTCTTCATAATTCACAAGGGCAGATTTTGATGCTTGACCTTTTCCTGTTTCTGTTCTCTTTTCGTGGGTTCAATGTCAATTGTGGGTTTTATGCTGTTTTCCATTCCAAAGATCCCTCCTTTTTCAATTCTTTTGAATTGGTGAATTTCGCCTCTACTTAACCCATACGGGATAGTTTTGATCAGTTTTCAGATTGCTACTTTGGGCATTGATGTCAGTTTGAGCCAGTGCTGAACATAATTTAGCTTGCCATTGTTGTTTACTTGCTTTACCTTTGTATTGTGTATATATCTGTAATTCCATGCGTTTGGATGACCTGGCCATTTTTGTGTTCAATGTTGAGAACATAGGACTTTCAGATGCTTGTATTTATCAAACCCAAGTTCCTTTTACATTGTTCTTTTAGGGCTGGCCTTGTTGTAATTGTTGTGCATTGTTGTTGAGTTCATACCTTAGCCTTCCCCACTACATTATTTATGTTTTCCTTCTTTCTTTCCCTCTTGTTTCCTTATGACTCAATTCGAGGTTGGGAGGACGTTGCAAGTTATATTCTTGTTTAAGCACATTCTATACTCTTGGTTTGTTTTGGGCTGGTGTGGAGTGTCATTGGGATCGATTCTGGTCACCAAACTGCAGGAATATGCAGAGCCAGTCAAGTGGTGGATTTGTTCCCAACTCTGTCTCCAGAGATAGTGGTGAGGGAGGCAAGGATAGAGGACTGTTGGGAAGTGGCTGAGACTCACTGCAGCTCCTTCTTCCCTGATTACTCCTTCCCTCTGAATTTTGTGCTGAGAATGGATAGGCTAGTTGGAATGCTATTTGGCTTCTCCGTGCCTTCTGGTTGCAAGAGAATCTGCCTTGTGGCTGTTGTTGGCAGCTCCATTGATCAATCCTTTTACATTGGTAGTGAGGATATCAAGATTGGAGGGTTTGATGCCAAGTTCACTCTCAACAAAGGATATGTTGCCGGGATCTTGACTGTGGACACTGTTGCCGATTACCTTCCTAGAAAAGGTCCATTGCGGCGAAGAAGGTGAAGCTTCTTGCTTCCAGATGTTTCCTTTGTATTCATTTGGTTCAACAACTTGACACCAAGTGGTGCCTCCATTTAGTAATCAATCCCCAATCAAAAACACTTAGCTTACTACTCAATTTGCTTGTGACAGGACTGGAATTGCGTACATATCAAATGTAGCTGTTAGAGAGAGGTACCGGCGCAAGGGGATAGGAAAACAGCTTGTAGAGAAGGCGGAGGCATTGGCCAAGACTTGGGGCTGCCGGGCGGTTGCCCTTCACTGTGATCTGCGGAATCCTGGTGCTATCAAACTGTACAGAGGGGGAGGTTTCAAGTCCATCAGGGTACCTGAGGGTGCAAACTGGCCTCACCCTAGAGCCTCCCCAGATGTCCAATTCAACTTCATGATGAAGCTGCTAAACTCCACAACGAACTAGCACTTGGCATCTCCTTACAACTACATAACACACAAAGGTAAGCAAAAAAATGTTTAAAGTAGGAAGGATCCTTTGCAGCAGCTTCTCTTGTTGTATATACGTCATCTGTATACTCGTTCGTTGGAATGGAAACTTGTCTAAATGTAGATACGTTGCATAATGTAGCTCGTATCGTGATCGTAAAATGCTTCAGCAACCGCAACCTGATTGTGATGACCTGAACATGGGCACCAGAGGTTGCAAATGTGTTGGGGTTTGGGGCTGGACTCATGTGGGTTTGTAGATAGATGGTTTGTTGGAAATCAATGGCATTCTTGGAGATCTGGTTTACAGGGGTATTTCGATTATTTATCTAGCCTTGGGCAAGGTTCAGATAGCTAAGCCTAAACGATCGGAAAATAATAGTTGGAATTAATTTCTGGACCAGATTATAAGATTCTGAAAGTATGTTACTAAAATGTAAGAACCACAATAGTTTAGATACTAAATTGTACATCAGATGTGAATTTTTCCGTAAATATGTAAAAGTCTAGGTAGTATGGTTTAAGGTACAAAATGTTTAGGTACAAAAATTAAGGTCCGTTCTTACATAAATTGGTGAAACCACTAAAAGATGATGTTGGTATCTTTGTTTTTATTCCATTTTCGCAGTTCATATACAAGCGAAACGGAACTTCTCGTCCGCCATCTCAGAAGCAAAAAAGTGGGTCACGAGCGCCAGAAACCGAAAACAGCCCTGCAACTTACGAAGCGTGGACGAATTTGTCGAGCACAGATGTGTCCAGAGCAGGGAACTCCTTCACGGCAGAAGCCACAGCAAGTCCCAGGTTTACAGCATCAGCGTCGGTTGGTCCCTGCAATACATTTCACTTTCAGTTACATCGAAGTTCAAGACTCCCTGCCTGATTATGCAAAGAACATTGAAAGGAACAACTGATGTAACCTCAATATTGAGAGGAAGGACAGGATCATGAAGAGAGAGCCTGAGAAGGAACCATCCACCATAACCAGAAACTCGGAGCTGTGGATAAACATGAAGAGTTAACTGGAGCGATAAAACTCTACGCCACAGCAACTGTACAAAATTTGGCAGCTACTATTCTAGGATTGACTCACCCCTTCATAGTTGACTGGAGCTTTCTGAAGCTTAGAGTCGGAAACTACATAGTCCTCCAAGTGCTTCAGAACTGCCTCCCCATACTCCCGGAATGGTCTGGATTTTTCGCTACTATTTAGCATAAATCCGAAACAATACAAGCAGACCCACACATTGCAATGGAATTTGATCTAGAGATATACCTTCCTTTAAGATCTGGATGATTCTGATTGATTTTCAGTCTTAGTTCCACTGCAAATCCAGGTTCCTCTAGGCTTTCAACCAGGTCAGTCAAAACTTTGCTGCCACCCCCATTTCCGGATGCTCTGGCCGAGGCAAGTTTGTTTAGAAGTTTGACCTGTTGATAAGCAGATAGGAAATTGAACATTCCATGCAAGAAGTCATCTCGTATAAAAAGTAACAGAGTTCAGCCTACTACCATGAGATATGCACCATCATCAAGCCAGTGGTTTTGCTTGAGACTTGAGAGCTCCATGTCCACTGATTTCGATAGCAAGATGCGACTCCTCACCAACAGAGTTCTGTGAGCATTTTGGCAGAGGATGGCAAACGAAGAATGAGAATCGAGACACAATATGTTTTACTAAAGATCCACAAGTAACATGAGAAACTCAGAAGACCATGTTCAATCCTGCACACAAATGAAGTGATAGTATTTGGAGTTAAAGACGACAACTAAAGGCCAAAAGGAGAGTATGAAGAGTCTGATGAGTATTGGTGCACTAAAAATTTGTTGGATGGAAGTACAAATGTTTTAGGTATTGACGTTAAATGTCATCTTTAAATATGAGTATTTATAATTTTATTGACGTTATATTGACCGGCAATGAACCGGCACAAACCGGTATGTGTCACCGGTCGAACCATTCACTTGCTAAACCGACACACTGGCATAAACCGGTTTGACAACCTTATAACTGGAGACAGATCAGGCATATGCATCAACTTGTTTTTGCCCATAACCCACCCTATACCATTATATCATATTTTTAGCGATGATTATATGGTTTTCTCCGTTAAAAATTTGAAAACATTAATGGGCTGTTAGCCAAATTTTGACCCGCAACAATAGTTATGGCTAATAATTTGTATTTTAATAACTGTGACTATAATTTCCCGTTGCTTAATAGTTATGGCTAATATAGTATATCTACTTAAAATATAATAACGTTTATAGTTGTGGAAAAGAGCATTGATAAAACCAACTGAAATGGGTGTATATATGAAGTTGTCTGCCAGTTTATTTCAATTGAATTCCTTTTTGCAAGGGTCATTTTCATCGTTTTTTTTCTGTCCTATAGGGAACATGAGCTCAAAGGTTCCCATCAAATTAATTAGTTTTGGTTCCAAGAAGCCTTTTAAGCACTTAGTTGAAAGAATGGACACCTAATTCTCTCGTACCATATCGTATACATATGCATTGCATTTTCTCATTTATAGCGTCGATTTTTATTTCTTGTTCGGTATATTTCCTATGTCATTTTCAACAAATCAAAACTATAATAATGAATGAAGCGCACACTTGTATTTTGAAAGAATGTCACCCCTCATAATCATTATCGAAATTTTATTTATTGATCGGATCATAATTATTGTAAATCAAAACTTTAAACGGTGAAAGCAATCAAATACCAAGAAAATGAGGGGAAAAGAAGAGAAAAGCAAAACTTCGTTGAGATGATTAGGGTGTAACACTTCAACTCATTTGGTTTGCAAATAGTGACCCCTCCCTTTGTGAGAGAGATGTTGTTGGGGGAAATTGCGTGTAATTAATTGATTGAGACACATTGCCAAAGCCTAACCATAGCAAAAGGAAGCTCTCTCTCTCTCTCTACTCCAAATGCAAATATGATTATGGTTTCAGCCTCAAGTCTAAGCGAGCTTTTGGCCATTTGATTGGATTGCATTCTATTTCTAGGTCAAGCTCATCCATATACTCCTAACTAATAGTTGTTTATGTTCCTTATAGATCAAGTTTTCCACAAGTTAAAAAGGAAAACAAAGCCTTTAATCATAGTACGTCGTTCTAAGCAATGTTCTTGTTGATAAACAATGAAAGTAGTCGCAACATATATCATATTTGTTTCGTCTAGTTAAAAAACATGGAATGCTGAGATATCCACAGACCACAGTACTACTGAACCAAACTCCTTACCTCCGCAGTTTCGCTCCGCTATTTCAAACTTGTTTGATTTTCACGACCTAATAGTTAGTTATAGCCCTATGATTATGATTATGCTTTTGACTTGATGGGATTCTAACAACCGGTTTCATTTCCTCTCGAAAATCATTAGGTTTGCTGTACTGCTGCTGGCTAATCTTGTCAACCACCCGGTCCACCCTTTGCATGGTGATGGCCCAACCCACCAATTCAGCAATCAAAACCAACAAGAAATGGACAAGTCACAGTCGCCAACTCAGCCTGAGATTGAAAACTCCAAGCCACCACCACTAAAACTCCATCTCACTCACATGGCCTACCCTCCTCCTTTACTAAGCCTTTGCTTCCATGACTTCCCAACCATCTTTAACTCTGCACCGACGATCAGTAGGATCCACATGCTCTGGCAACTCCACAAAGAAACAAAACCGGCCACCTTCTGTGGATGAATGATTGAATATGGAAAGACAAGGGAAATGGGAGGAAGAAGACCAGCCATCATTTGATTACAGAAAACAGAGAAAAGTTCTCCAGAAACCCATTACTGAGACTTGAGAGCTCAGAAATATCCAGCTGCGAAACTGAACTACAAAAAAGAATGGAACCCAACTAAACAAGGAATTTTGATGAAAGAAAACCCAAAAAGAAAAGCAAAACATAGTTCCCTGATGATCTTCCTTTTCTTCTCAACACCTAAGATATAACCTTAATTAAGGACCTAACTTATAAGAGAAACCTACAATAATGTGATCTGATCTCTGTCTCTCACTACCCTTACTTCTCTCTTTTTGCGCCCTCCTCTGCCTCTTTTACTGTCCTCCCTACTTACCTACAAATATTTGGTCATCTATGCTCTCTTCCTATCTTCCCCACATTCCATCCACTGTACAAAGAACCAACGAACAAAGCAATGAAATTCCCCTTACTGCATGCTGACTGATCGAAGACACTACTAAAACCCGAGGATCGATCCTCTCTGCCTCTCACATGTAATCCATGGCAGGGTTGCTGTGATTTGGAATCAGCACCTCGGGCGAGTCAGGAACCATGGAAGTATCTCCTGCAGCCATGCCAAACATTTCGACGGGAGTCTTGGTTCTCATCTCGACCACCTTCTTGTGGGAGTTGGAGTGCAAGGCTGGAATAAAAGTTGGGCTGGCAGCTGGCCGGTACTCGGGGAAAAGCCGGCCAGACTTGAACCTCACACCACAAGCATTGCAGAGGGTCTTCGGCCCCATCGGTCCCGCCCTCCATTGTGGCGTTTTGGTCACCTCGCAATGCATGCATTTCCTCACCCCCTGCTGCTGCTGCTGTGGCCCGGACTCGTTGTTCTGCTCTTCCAGACCCAAGGCCGGAGGAGGAGGAGGAACAGCAGCAGCCTCAGCCTTCTTCAGCTTCTTCTTCTTGTTCTTGTGCTCGGATTTGATGAGGTGCTTGGGGATCTTGATGAGCAGCCGCGACTCAGCATGGCTGTCCGAATCATGAGCCAGCTTGAGTGGATTGACAGGGCACATAGGGGTTGTTGTCTCGGTGACCGATGAGGTAGGGGAGATGATGAGCTGCTGCATTGCCGGCCTAGGAGTGAATGTAGCTGGACGCGGACGCTTGCTACGAGCACGCCCACACCTCCCACCCGCACCCACATTCGCCTCCGGGCTAAGAGGTGGAGCAGCCTGCTTCTGCTCCCCCGAGCACGAGCTGCTGCTCTCGAGAACCGACACAGGGCTCGACATCTCGAACTGCTGTTGTTGGGACAATGTCGTCGATGCTGACGACATGGAAAAATCCTTGTCGAGAAGCGAACGCTCGTTCTTGTTCATGGTCAGGCTTCCTCCCGAGAAGGAATCCTCCACAAAGGTGGATAGCCATTCCAGCTGCACAATGTCCTCGTACTGCAAACAATCAAAGACAAACAAATCCCTAATCAGAACCAACCAAAAAATGATCAGCCATTGATGACCTTCAAGAGATTAGGTAAAGAGGACAAACATCCACTAGTGAGTACAAACTAAACAACAAACACCTACTGCTACTGTTAACTGTAATGTCAGTAGACCACACCACCAAGCGCGTTGGCACATGGCTCTTCCCAATTACAATTTTGAATTATGGATCTGAATCTTAGTCTTGAGGATGCAATGATTAAGAGGGATGTGACAATAATTCGTAGCAAACCACATGACTAGCCCACGTGACATCCACGACTAAGCACTAACAAATGATATTAAAAAACGTAACATAACATGGTCACATTATAATAAGGCCAACAAACAAGCTTTGTTTAAATAGCAATCCACCTCATCACCGACAAGCAAGTTGGAGTTTTACTAAAATATCCACCAGTCCCCAAGGATGACCCACACTCCCCACAGTTTTTGACTAATATGCCCCTTGTCGTTATGAAAAGGAGGAAAAGGGCAGAATTTTCGAAATTTGAAGTTTGTATTTTTGGACGCGTAATGCTAAAATCCAAACCAGTTTTTAGCGCGGAAGAGAAGGCAATCAATTACTGCACTAAGCACCAAATCGGAGCATGCAGGTGACGTCATAATGAAGAAATCCAACGGCAGATAAAAGGGTTTGGTTTGATAATTAAGGAATTGAAAACGGAGTACGTGTAGGGTTGAAATATACCGGAACGGACAGCTCAGCGGAGAGGTCGGAAGCCGAACCAGGGTGGGCGGCCCAAACGCTGGGCGGCGGGAATGACTCGTCGACGTCGGTCGTTGCGGCGGAGATGGGTCTGCCGTCGTTGTCGTCGGGACAGGAGGTGAAGACGGCGTCAATATCGTCGGCGGGGAAGTCGATGAGGTCGTCGATTTGGTCGAAGAAGCTGCCGCAGTCGAGCTCGTCCATGAAATTCAGAGATGACGGTGTCGGTCCAACCATTGTTCAACGAAAGGTCGTCGCTTTTTCTGGGTAGGAGGAGACAAGAAAACGAAGGAAAATCAGGGGAGAAACCGTGAGCTGGGGAAGTTCTGAATGTAATAAATAGTGATGGAAAACAGAAAAAGTAGTGAATTTCGTTGCGTCCAGCTTAAGGTAATTGGAGAAAATTTTGCCGACTAAGGAAAATAAAATAAAAAACAGTTCCCGAAGAAAAATCCCCAATTGCGTAAAGCAGTCACCTTTATTTGCTGCTTCAGTCACTCTGGTACTGTCAAACCTTGAAAGCTCGGTGGGAATTGCAAATGGGTGACTGTTTAGTTGAAAGATTCCTGCAGGGAAGGAAGTAGAAGGAGAGAAGAAAAGCAGCATAAGAGCCTAGTAGAAGATGAATGCAGCAAGCAATAACCCTTACAATGCCGTCAGAAAGAATAGAAAATGCAGGGACGAAACTGAATGGAATGAGGGTTGGGGGTTTCGTTCAAACTTCAAATTCCTCTGCTCCTGAAACGGAAAGAAGAGGGCGGAGAAAGAGAGGGGGTGCGTCCAAATTGGTTTCGGTTCACGGGAAAGAAACACTTCCTTAGGGCACTATAGTATTATTAATTAAATGGTAAAAATGAAGAGAGAAACTCATGGGTTTCCTCGTCGGCGTGCCGACACTGCCAAATTAATTCAGTGGGGAGGGATAAGGATAAGAAACAGAGCAGAGGGCACAGTGGACTCTTTTTGTACAGTTGGGTAAAACGAAATGCAGAGGGAAATGCACCTGAAAAGGGATGAATTGCTCCACATGCAGAGAAACCACAAACAGGAAAATTGAAAGGAAGTGGAAACAGGAAGTTCCCCTGCCCCAGCAAAGATGAGAGCTTTGGGGGGTGGGAGTTGGGGAAACAGGGGAATTCACGCAACCCAAGGTGAACAATTTCCCTCCAATTATATCAAAATGAGACCCAAAGAAAACACCAAGTTGCAGAACAGAGTAGGGAAAAGGAACAGAAACAGGAGCAGGGGAGAAGGGTGAACAGTACCTTAGAGGAGTAGTGGTAGTGACTAGTGAAGACTGAAGAAGAGTGGAAGAAGAAGAAGAAGAAGAAGAAGGGTTTTGGAGGGTGTTTGATTTTTGTTTTTGGGTGTTGGAGAGGGTTTGAGCTATGGGAAGGAGGGGGAGAGAGAAGAGAGGGCTAAAAAGGAGAAGGGAATTGTGCACACTAGAGAGAGAGAGAGGGGAAAGGCAAAGAAAAGTGGTAGGTGAGCCTCAACCTTCATTGCTAGCTGTCTTTTACTTTCATCTTTCTTTCTCTCTCTCTCTCTCTCTGCTCTCTTTCCAATTCACTACTGTCTTGATGTTGAAGTCTCTTCTTCTTCCCCCTTCCCTCCTTCCCACCACTCCTCTCATCACCTTACAGGGGACCCACCACCACCTCTCCATCTCCACCCTTTCTCATGTGTTTGAACTTTGAATTCAATAATAAATCAGGAAGAAAGGGTAAAAGAAAACGAGGCAACAAACAACAACAGCAAATCAGAAAACAGAGCCCACGAGACCAGATCAGATAATTCATAATCCTTTAAACAATTTTCTGTTCTACTCTTCTTTTTTATTCTTAATTCATTTCTACGCAGCTCAGCTGGGCCGGTGGATTTACCTTTTTGCTTGCTTTCTTCTCTATTCTGATTCTTTTATATGGGTAGAATCTCCACTCTGTTTTTAACTCTGCCTCCTTCTCCTTCTTGGGTTTCGGCTACTCTGCAAATTACCCACAAGTTAAAAACAAACAAAAAACAACAGTCTGACGGTGGGTAAGATAAGAGTCTGGTTTCAGTCCGTATACAGGGGTTGATTTGGCTTCATATTCCGTACCCAAGTAATCCAACAGAACAAATATAAAAGATAAAGAAGAAAGAAGGGATTTTTCAATTGTTCTTCATACCCTGCTTTTGCTTTGCTCTCTCACTTCCTCCCTCTGTGTATTTTGATTTCTTTTGGGTTTCTTCTCAAGTTATGATGGTTGTCAGACAGCTTTAACCGCCCGCCTGCCCGGTTTCTCGCTCGTCGTGCTTTCTTTTCTTTCTCACTTATCTTCTTTCCATTCCTGATTCAGGTTTAGGGTTGGGTTGCCTTACTTGTTTTGGGTCCAGAGAAGGTACGATGTTTAATGAAAACCCAGAATATTTACCGCGCGCCTTCTTATCCACGCGCATGCTCTGGCGTCTGTGGCTCACACCCACTGACTCCGTTATTTTGACCTTCCAGAATCCAATCCAGACAGCCTTTCCGGGCCCGCTAAGTTTTGCCATTCCCTTCCCGCGTCCCGCGGCCTGATTTCGTAGCCAGTGGAAAGTTGGAGGGTTAGCTTAGGAATTTTCCCCAATGCAAGAGAGTTTGCCGCGTTTTCTGGTTTGCTGGACCTTTTTTGTAATACAAGTCAAAAACAAATTCAACCCAACAAAACCCACATATCACATATCCGTGCCCATTGTTTTCCCATTTTCTCGAAGCTTACGATGATAATTTCAATCCGATCACAGGATATTGTGTATTTTGTTACTTCGATTTGTGTAGGTATTATTCGTTTTGTATTCATAAAAATGAGTTAGACCGATTTCAACTCATTCCTCATCATTTATCATGTACTTGTGTTAGAGCACTCGCCCTCGTGTATGATGCATTTGTCCTTGCCTATTATTTTGCACAAAATGAAATTGTCGGGACGGCCACACATATTGTCACAATCGTTCAATGCGTGCCGTTCGTTAACTATACTTTTAAGGCAATTTATTATCCTCTTGTAAAATGGAAATGTGATGAATCTATCATTTTGCGTTAGACTGAATTTGGTTAGTGTGTACTTCACTCAACGACATGCTTAGTTTCTGTTGGCGCACACACATAGCTAAAGCAACTGTATATATATGATCCCTGCATTGAAGTTAAAGTGCCATTATACAACTTATGGCGCCTATGTTTAATCGTCTTCTTCTACTATCTAAATTATAAACAACTGGAAAGAGGCTTCTTCTAGATGGTAAACTGTGTTAGTCTGTTAGAATATGCATGTCTATCGAGCTAGTTGGTACTAGAAAAGTCTTAAGCTTGATTTCTTTCCAGCTGGTTTTCATGTGGAAGTAGTTGAAGTAGTACGAGCTAGTACATGTTCTGGGTCTTAAAAGATCCAACATTTGCCATTTTGATCACCGACTTTTCACGGGATGACATTTCTGGTCCTCAACTTTCTCCCCCCACAGAATGCCAACTGGTCGAGCGACAAAAGTGCGGTGCTTTGAAGAATCTGCTTTTGTTGTTGGACTGGGGAGATCAGGAATGGCGAGACATCAGCCAGCATGGCATAAATCTAGGTAGCTAGTTATTGGGCATTCTTTTGTCATGGGTCCCCAAAATGGAAGAGGCTTTACATGCAAAAAACAAAGGCTTGCATTAGTTCGTTTTGGAGTATAGATTAGGAACCAGGAACGGATACGGTGCTAATTGTACAATAGTTAGTACTGTCCTAATCAAGGGGAAAACTACTAGTAGTTTGAATTAGTAGTGATTTAGCTTAGATGTTGTATTGATTTTATAATAATCCGTAGTGATTTTTGCTAGTTATCACGGTGCTAACCCCTATAAGGGTTAGCACCTAATCCCATCCCTTAGGAACCACTTTATGATATTTTTTTAGTGGGTATTAATTTTTAAAGAGACCCAAATCTTTGTGTCTTCCTAAAGTGACTCGATTATGGAACTCGAGAGGAAAAAAAAAATAGTAAGTGTTTTTGTTGTTGGATCTTACCTATGCCTCTTCAAACGAAAATCAACTTATGGGTTTGAATTTTACAAAGATCTGTCTTATCATGTGCTTTGAGACAACGATTAATATTGAGGGGTGAGGACTTGAACACACTACCTCATGGACATGGATAAACTAGCTTTAATTTGTGACCATGTCATAAACCAACTGATCCCAACGATTCGAGTTGTTGGGAGAGGTCCACGTTTGATACTTAATCACTTTCTTACATGACCGATTATTAATCGATCAGTACATTTATTTTTTATTTTGTGATCTGACATGAGAAAGTTTTGGATTTCTCGTATGTAGTTGTTTTTCTCCAATGATACCTTTGGCAATGCAAAATAGGGAAAAGAAAATTTGTTGCCATGTTCATATTGGTGGCTTGATATATGGGGAATGAATGAGATAGAATCATGATGGAAGTTGTGATGTGGGTGGTCTATCTAGTTCCACTTTCACAAGAACACTCTTCTATAGTCTTCACTCTCCTCCAATGGGGGAAAGTTGGTTGCTACCTCTCCCTCTTATCTTTTGTCACTCATTCTTTTTGTAACTAGCTTGAAATGTACTCTTTGCATCAGAACTTCCCCCACTAGAAAGGGCTTTTCTTTTTCTTTCAAAACAGAAATCACCAAATACTGGAAGAGAGCCATGTTTATAATTGTCAGCCTTTGTTTCCTTTATGTATCTTAACTTGGGTTGCACTCCATGGATCTCTCCCTTAACAAAGACTTCTTCTTTATTGTATCTAGCCAGTACTCCCCTCGTCCTCATATGTGCTGAAAAGTTGGAGAAAAGAAAGTTTTCATTTTGGTCCATCCCCAAATTGCTTTAAACGGTAGCTAAAATTTGAAAAGTGCTTATGCACAAATAACATAATTCATGCTTGCAAGTGTTTATGCCAAATTTGAAAGTATATATACACATAACTTTCTTGATAGTCTTTAATTTTGGACTTCCAATCTAGAAATGGGCAGCCTATTGTGATAGTTTTTCTTCAGTTTGTCTCTAAAGGCTCTCAATGAACCTTAGCCTACCGCGCGTATCAACCTCGTTTTTAGTATCATCTATTTGTGTCTCTATAAGATGAGAAATGAGCAGGCCTTCACAAGCTCCAAAATTACCACTACAACCTTTTTACATTGCGTCCTTGCATGGATACGTATATGGTGGATTATCATTGAGAAAGACAAGTTGATGCATAAGCCCGATCAGTCTCCACAATCGGATGAACATATTTCATGGAGTCATATGCTCTAAAGTGAGTTACATTTAACACATACAACTTTGTGCATAGACACCACGCCACTACGAGTGATCTATAAGAGATCACATTGGGTGTTGCTTGTCAGCATTTGCATCTAACATGGGTGTGTGCTCCATCACGCGAGTAATTGACAGGAGTTGCAAAGCTCTTCAGCTGGCATGAGATGCTAGGATCAAAAGAGTAGCTTACAGTCATGGTGGGCGGTCCAACTACTTGAGTTGCACGGACCAGTACGAACTCTTTTAGGTTTTACAAGTTGTATACATTTGGTCTTAATCTTATATACCCAGTACATTGAATCTTGTATGTTTATTTTGGACACGCTTCCGAGTACGCCTCCCCTATACTCATATATAGTCACATCGATCTAGACTATTGTATCAGGGGCTTGAACTATATGCAAAAATGTCACTTCTGTCACAAAGCATTCGACAATTATAGTCCAAACGATGGGCGCTCATGGCTACTACGTCGGTCGAAAGATGGGAACCCATGAAAGGCGATATGCGCCTATTGAGAAACATCAACATTATAAGTCTTTTGGAGCATGGAGCCATTCTAGGTTAAACTTGGCCTAGGATGGGATAGTTGTTAGATACGTGCTAACCTCTAGCTACAGAGCACGGATTCAGCCCGAGGCTATTCTCCACCGACAATGAAGTCTGTTGTCGGGGAAGCTGGCCGAGAAACTTTGCAAATCTGGGCAAAGCTGGTTGCTTCCTGTTCTCAAAATTGGCGCATATGTCCTCTAACCATGAAAAGGGTAGCTTTGCTAACAACTATCATGCTCTAAATGACTTATAATGACGATGGACTTATTTTTTATTGATTCATTTAGTCATCTAAACTCATATCTAAAGCCCAATCGATTATGAATGAAATATGACCACCGGTTAACAAATTCCCAGAGAAGGTAAAGAGGCATTAGCTAGGTAGCGACAGGTTATGCAATCAAGTTACACATCGTTTCTGCTTGCAAGTATCTCACAACAACATTCCACCGTCGTCTCCAATATATTCCCCCATGGCTAGTTGGCTACCTCAATCATCAATCATGTACGTGTGTGGCTTTCTTTCTTTCTTTTCTCATTTTATAGAAGAAAAATGACCAATCATGTGTCGGCATCGGCAATGAGGAAAATTGGTGGGGAAAGAAAGAAACAAATTTTGAAAAGAAAGGTGGAGGGAAGTGAAGTGCAGAAGAAGAAGGCGACATTGACCCTCCTCCATACAGAGCCCAGCCAAGCCAGCCAGGCCCATGGAGTTTGCACATGGAGCTGTGCCCTAACAAGACCTTCAAGCAAGGTTGTCAAACTGGTTTATACTGTTGTGCCGGTTTGGCAAGTGGAATGGTACGACCGGTGGTATAATCAGTTTGTGTCGGTTCATGCCGGTTTAAAAAAATGTGAAAACAATTAATATCCAATGTATCTAATCATATATAAAACATATTTGTGGACAATTTTGTTACAATCCAACAAATATCATCAACTTTTAACTATTACATTCATAAAATGAATAATAAATTAATATTTTTATTCATTAAATTGATTAAAATGATGTCATTTTACTTAGAATGGTTAAGTCGATCATACCGGTCATACCAGTGGTGTCATGCCGGTTTCATGACCGGTACAGGTTTAACCAGGTTCAATGCCTTCAAGCATGCATTTATTGAAAAATATAGCCTACATTTTCCTTTTTTTTTTCTTCCCTCCAAATCTCTTCAAATTTTTGTTCCACTCTCCCCAATTTGATTGACTCTCGCTTATTAATTTGTTGCACAATTATAATAATTTTTGTTATTAAGTCATTGTTGTTGCTTTGATTAGTGGCAAATCCCTCCAGACATGGACATGATAGGACAACAACAAATGTCATGTAAATAGTATGTGAGATATTATTATCATTGATGACCTGGTTTGGTTACATTTGGTGTTCTGCTTACTTATACTAACCCAATTTTAAATGGGTTAGAGGTCTGAAACTAACACGGTAACACCTAATCAAGCTTTTATATAAAGACTTAAATGCATGGTTTAAGCCTTTAAGGGCTCCCCCTCTGATTTATGTTTGTACACCTACAGTCAGGTGCATCATCTTTTTTTTTTTTTTTTACACTTTTCTGTTTAGAAAAAACAAACTTATATTATATGCAGCAGGGATGAGCAATGGGTGGGTTTTTAGCAAAATCCACCCACTCATTGTTACAGTAGGTGACGAAAAATTGACCCGTACCCACCCATTTGTATTGTAATGAGTGAGTTGGGTGAAGAACGGCGACAACTGGCCGGAGGAGGATGAATCCATTGATGGAGCAATGGCATTTACGTGTAGAATCCCAATTAGAAAAAAACAGTTCCTGTAGTCCAGTCCTTGCCGAATGATTTTCAGACTTTCAAGATTCCCAATCGGACACCAAACAGAGGAGAACAAGAAAATGGATTTGTGGGAAGTTTGGAATATAATGGGATTTTACAAGTTAGGGATATAGTGGGTTTTGGTGTGATCGATTTTTGGAGAAGAAGAAGATGGATTTGGAGTAGGGCTTGAAGAAAAGTTTGGAGATTCTTGATTTTTTAAGAGTCAGAGGAAAACGATAGAGAGTTTCGGCTGGGGAAGAAGAGAGATGGGAGAGAGAAAATAAAAAATATTTATTTAATTTATTTTTATTTTCCACCTCACATGTTCAATTGACTAACCGTTACCAACTCAGCAATTTCGTTAGTCCAATCAGCCCGTTACTTGACACCGTCAAACAATTGGACGGAAGTGACTATTTTTGGTATTTCGTCAAACGTGGCTATATTTGGCCAAACCGTCAAAATTTTGACTATACAAGTGTATTTTGCCTTTTGTTTTTTGTTTTCATGTTGAACAGAGCTTTCATAGTAAACCTTGGAGACATGCTGAGGCGATGGAGCAAGGCTTCACTTTGTACTTTGATTAAATAATATATGGTGTTTGGTGGAAATAAAGGCAAAAACTGTATTTTTCTTGTTTGGGATGGTTATGTAGCTGATGATATGGTAGATCATTCAATATCTTCCTCTTTATACTGAACAAGAACATATAGGAATCAACTAAATATGATCTCTTGAGAATATACAAAATTGTCCCACCCCAAGAGAATTATGTTGGCAACTATAACACTGTTTTTGTAATAACTTACTGAAATGGTTAGCTCAAAAGAGGTATTATACGGACCCACCAGCCATACAAATAATCAGTTAGCTCAACATCCTACAAGAGATAACAGAGACACAGAAATGCTCTTTCTTCATTCATCTCCTCTTCAGAATTCATAGTGTCTCCCCCATGTTAGTCTCAATCACCCATAAAACATCTTGAGAGGATTCCCAGTCACAACAGTCATTTACACAGCAACTGCTTTTCCCACGTCGAGATTGTTGAGTCGACATGTTCCCAACAGGAGCTCTGGCAGTTCTTCCTCAGTGTTGGCCTGCAACCATGAAGAGAATAAAGATAACTCTCCCTTACCCACTTGAGAAACTGGAATAAGATGATGGTCTTGATACATCAACTTACCTGAATTAGGAATGCCATTTCCACGACCAGATTGGTCATGTAACCATTAACAAGACTCACCACACCTCTAGCAACAGTTGATGATCCAACATCAATTGCAAGCTGCATGCCAGGAAAATGATCCATTAATTCCGATACGTTGGTTGGTTTTCACCATGTGTTAGATGCAGCTCATCAGTCACATCAGTATCTCATAGCTTAATTACCTCCAAGTAGTTCTTGCCGCGGTGGTAATGGATTTCAAGCGCTTGACCAACCAAGCACGATTTCTTCCCAACACTCTGCTTCACAATCCAAGATCCCTGCCATAAACAAAACAACCTATCACAACACAGCCATATGTGTTTGTGAAACAAGAAAAATAAAATATTAATATGACTTGCCAACCAACCTTTGGGATGAATGGAATGAGCTTGAACCTCGAGTTTCTATAAGCATCATCCCCATTGACAAAGCTGTTCAACAATGGTTGTTCTTCCAAAGGAGTTTTCAGCATGTAGTATAAGGCTAGGGTGTAAACTGGAACACCAGGAACCTGATGGTTCATGAATATAAACGTAATAACAAAGATCCATTATGCATTTAGATTCTGGGTGTGATTGAGGATGGATCAAGCACTTTCAGTATCTAGTCATTAGAGTTCTCAAGCTACCTGAATGTTGACAATGAAGAAGAACTCTGGTCGATTCTGTAATGCATACTTCTGCATATATAAGCCACGACGTGATTTTGTAATTTTCTTCTTTATGATTGAAGTTTCCTTTTACTGGCAACATTTAAACTAAGGGTAAGATCATATATACCTGAACAATGCCATTAGGGCGGCTTCCAAGATCTTGCTCCCACCGGTCTGATCTTAGCCAATCTGCACCTACCAGCTGCATCATTGTTCCTTTTGCCTTTACCTACAAGCAACCAACAAATGAAACCAGTTAGTAACAATTAAGAATCTCAATGTACTTTACAACATTCAGAAAATGTGAAGAATGAATATTAGTATAACCTTCTGGTTGTCTTTCAAATAGTTTTCGCCACGGATCAAGAATGTCGAAGGATCAGCAGATGACCAACTGCATGGGCAAGAACCATTTGCATCCTTTTGAAGAGTTGATCCATAGGAACAGAAGTTACTATTGTCTTCTGATGCTTCTTGTAAATCAACATAGCCCTTCTTTTGAACTGCATAGGATTTTAACCATAAATTTCGAGCCCGTTCATAAACCATAACACGCAAGTTATTATCCCTAACAACTAACAAAAAACATGTTAGTTTAATGTGCACAAGAAAAAGAAAAAAAGACTTAACCAGCAAGGTCATGCAATTTCTTCACAAGACCAGCAGCAGATGAGAATGCAGGCGAGTGGTCTATATCCTGCAGAACTCGACATGGAAATGACCCAGAATGTGTTTTATTAGGATCATATAAATTTCAAATGCAAAAAAAAAAAAAAAAATCCTTTTATAGTGAGTAACTACCGGGGCACATGCTGTCGGAGTATCTGAGGAAGACCACTCAACCTCGGAGTGATCAAATTCATTGAGTTCCTGGTCAGGGACATCAAAGAACTCATCAGAGCAATTGTGGAGGGCCACCAAGCTAGTGTACATGGATCCCTTTTTCTTCCCATATTCCACGTCAGTTGAAGTACCATGATTCAGCTGTGTGTTATCTAAAGGGCTGTTTTCATCTAGAGTAGCTTCATGGGGTTTAGTAAGGGACACCTTCCGAGGAGGGCGCTGCAGTTCTCTGGAGAAGGGACATTTTCCTGCTTTGGCTCGATACATCTCTCTCAGTGCAGCAACTCTTTCAACCATACGGATTGTTACTGATTTGGCAGAAGCTGGACGGAGGTAGAGTTTCCAGAACCTCCAGTCCGCGGCAAGCATGTGCTTTACAAGCGTGCGGTTGCCTTCATCTACGGGAGTGATCACATATCCACCACCTGCATATACAAAAGCCACATCAAGATGTTAGACGTATTAAACATTCAGATTTCAGACCAATATATGTACTCTTTAGAACTTTTGACACCTACTTTTAAGGCAAGCTCGAACATAACCCTTCTGTGGTGGACATTTCTTGTGAATTACCGAATGGTATAGAATTACTGCAATGAACCAAAAGTCGATAGCTCACTAGAGATGAAATGAAATGATCTTTTATGGCAACATTATGCCATTTCTGCATTATAGTATTTGCTTGGACAACAAGGTACCATATGTTCCGTCATCCTCTCTTCTCCAATATCTTCGCAATAACAAGTCCCTTCTTCGCATCCCCCTGTGAAGAAGAAACCACAAAAAAAAAATATATTGGAAAAATGAATCAGCAATGCGTTCACTACATACACAGGGGGTGCATTATGCACTAGGTTATGGAGTTGTGAGTTTAACGACCATGGGAGCCACTCGCTGTAGAGCTGCTTATGGATTATATCTGTATGACCATCCAGATGTTCGACTACACTGCCTTTATAGAAACAATAGTCCCATCTACAAGAAAGAAACATCAATTGAGTAAGTTAGTGCCTCACAGGGAGACCACTGGATCAGAACTTGAGACCTTCCTCAGGTAATTCCAGCTGTTCAACTACTCCGATTACAAACAAGCATGTTGATTATGTGATAGCAGACTTACTCTGATCTTGATTGACCAAGAGACATCACAGACCGGAAAATGGCTTCTGAAGTTGCATCAACCACACCAACTCCCATGATTGCTGGATTGTCATCCCACCTCTATATATAAGAAGCAGCATATTCAATTCCAAAAGTACACTCCAATCCAGAACGATAGAAAATAAAGAAAATGCACTGTACCCCGTCTTGCGAACATGTATCTTTGGCTTCTCTGAAAAGGCGCAACCCTGTAAAATAATGTCAAACTTTGGTATAATATAGAAAGAAACATATTTCAACCGCAAATGCATCATCTCCTGTCCCTGCAGAAGCTTGTTTTTCACACAAACGACCAGAGCTCTTACCATTTTGACAGCCAAATATTTTCCAAGGCGAGGGTGCAATGACATCAGATGTCATTGCCTCAGTATGCAATGTTGAGTAATAGTCTATCGACCTTTTTGACTCTGTTCTTCTTGAAATACTTAGTCTGCCATGGGAAAAGTTGTAGAAAGCCATAAGACATTAAGTCAATAGGTCTTGGAAGAAAAGAAATTTGACATATATACCTTAAGGGAGGCCACTTGCTCTTGGAGATGGCCACAAAGTCCTGTGTTGGATGTGGACATTCCTTTAAGAGAGCATTCTTTAGGGAAGAAATCCATCTTGCAGCTTCTTCTGAACTACTTGCTCCCAACTGTTTAAGACCATATTGCTTCAAAGTTAGTTATGCAGTTCGAGACAAGTGCAGTGTTGGTTGCTAGAGGATGCATACAAAATTTAAATTACCTTAAGCTGGTCATTATGGTTTAAGGTACTGTAAAGTGTGAAGATGTAGAAGACCTGAAAGTTGCTTTACCAATTAGACAATTCTATTCAAGGCGCATGAAGGGTTCAATCAACCTGATAAACAAAAACAAGATATGAGGCATTACTTTTCTGTTGATGTTCTCCCTTCCGTTGTCTGTGACCCGAATGCAAGAATCCATAGTTGCACTTCTAGTCAATTCCTGCCCAAAAAGAGGAAAGGTTTAGCAAGTAAATTGCAGTTTCATTATGGAGGTCATAATGCTTTGGGATGGATTAGTCTGCAACAAATTATATGAAGACATGCATTTTTAATACGGAAATGCAAAATGAAGGTAGAGAAATGAAATGTGGTAGATGTTGACAGATCACAAATCTGTTAAACCAGACAACAATATGCATGATATCTTCAAGCTTGCAACATGGTGAACCAAACATGAAACCATGTCTATAGAACAATAACTCCTGACAAAGGTTCCATACCTTTGGAAAGCAAATGAGAAGCAAAAAGGAACAAACAAAAAGAAAAAAATTGGTGGGGCACCTCAATTTCTGAAGTGGGAATGGCCTTGTAGCACTTGAGACAGTTCTGTTCAAGAACATAGTACCTCTTCCTGGAGAATTGCAAACCAAACCTATTGGACCTAATGGTGTACAACCAGCCCTCCATCCTTTCATCATTTTCTTGGACACCCATTTGAGAAAACCAAGGAAAGATGCAAACTTTGCGAGTATCCCTCGGATTCAAGCGCTGCTGCCAATCTGCAGGGAAGGAGAAAGAGCTGGCTGTTTGTTTTTCTTGTGTTGTTTTTTTACATGTAATTGTGCATACAATGATCTCAACTACTTGAATAAAGCTTCCATTTTGTTCTTGTTCTTCCTCTAAACAGGTTTGAATGATGAGAACCAATCCTCTGATCCCACCCGAGGAAAGGTGGGAATCAGGGAATTGAATAATCAGTAGCTGGTTTGTTTGCAGGACACCAATTTGCCTTGTTGTTTCTCCTCTACCTTTTCTCCTTTCTGTGTTCTTTTTTCTTCTTTTCCTCCTGTGATTTGTTTATACAAACAGAAATTTGTGTTTTGGGGCTGTGACAGTTGGAGGGAACAAAAATGTTTGTTCCAGTTTACTATTTTTTACCCTTTCAACTTGTGGATCTTAATTCTCAGGAAAATGAAGACCTTTCCAATTCACCTTTGTAATCTTTTATTTTAAATTTTGTGTTGCCGTTGGAGAGCTTTCCTCGCCTATATCTTTTCCATTTGTTTGATCTCCTAGAAAATTTCTTGCTGGTTTGCTTGTTAAAAACAAATTGCTTCAGTATTTTTTTTCTTCAGTTTCCGAGTTCATTTTGTCAGATTGTTATCGACTAAGTTCCAACCATTTCGGCAGGGTGTTGAGTGTTCGGAATCAGGCTATGCTCGTTACTAAGTACGAACCGTGCATTCTCAGCTATCTGAGTGAACAATGAATCACTATTGATGCCGTTATGTGCTCACGAGCCCTATAAATCACCACCAGTCAATACTCGACCAACCCATGAAACAGATAAAAAAAATGCAATCCTTGTCAGCAGGATAGCCAAATTGTTGCGCACATGATATTCGATGAGGTATATCGACGTCTTCTAAAGATCGTGATTAAAAAAACACAATCAAGAATCTGACTTCTTCCTTCACATTAGAATTGCCCAAAACTGAAAACCACCATCAGCAGGACTCCCAAGTCCCAATCACAGAAATTTCAGAGTAAGCAGTTTGCTAAACTGTGATATTATATAATAAGAGTGCTTTCCTTGCTGTCCTAATACCTCACGTATTGAAACAACCATGGTTCGACGGTCCCCTAACGGGTTGAGGATCCAGAAGTACAATCTCAATGCAAGGTTCTTTACCGTCCGAAAACATTCTACAAAAATTCAGAAAGAACCTGCAGTAAATGCATGAGTCCTATGCCTGAATTGCTCCAACTTTGCCAGTAGCCAAGTCAAGCAGACGTCTACCAAGCTGCATGAGATACATGGAAATGACATTAATCGCTGTCGAACTAGGACAACAAAGATGTCAGTGCAGAGTGGCCGGAGACCTTGGAGAAACAGCTGGATTTCTATCGCTTGCGTATTGAAACATCAATATGCAGGTAAGCTACACAAGCCGCAAACAGGAAGAAAACTGTAGAGACCAACATCAGCGGCTCTGCTAGCATGAAGACTGGGTTAAAGCTATAATACACCTGTCACGAGATGGAATTAAAAAAAAGGTTCAGTAGCATATTGAGGGGAAAGGTGATCTAACGATCAACAGAATAATAAGCCAATGTCAGCTATCTTACTGATTTCTGGTTTCATTAAGTCAGGTATCAAGAATCAAAGCATATTGCTCAAGAACTATACGGCTATGCATCTAAATAATATGATTATGGATTCTACCAAAAATAATATGATTATGGAGCTAGCAGCAGAAACGAGCAACCCCTCATTTGAGTTACAATAAAGAACTTGTGTTCTATGTTCCTAACTCCAAATAAATTCTTGCATGTCATGTATGTAAGGAATCATGCGTTCAGTGATCAGCAATGTGTTACACTAAATTATAGGGTTCCTTGTCTCAATTATGAGGTATTCAGAACTGAGGTGCAATGGTCCCTGAAGGATAAAGGAACCATAATAGAATCAGTGCAAGTTTTGTTGAAAAGAAGTCCTTCAAAAAGAGGAAAGCCAAAGGTAATAGAGACTCTAGGTATATGGTTCTGTCGGGATTGATTTTCCCCCTTTTACGGTGGGTGCGGTTTTTGTTTTGTCAAATGAGTGGAGGGGGCATGGGGATCTTTTCAGGCCCTTTATGCTTTTTGGACGCTCTTTAATGCCAAACTAACAGAAAAACATGGCAAACACTTCACTAGGAATGTCAAAAACCGTGAGGAGCTACCATAATAAAAGATAAGTAGTTCAACAACTTTGATAGTGAACACCCTATAGTTGGAGCTCAAATGACCATTATCCTCATAGATTTCCTTCAGAAAGAGGACAGGCAAAGGTAAAATTCGAGATATATCTTTTTTCCCCGTGGAATGATTCAAGATACATCTCCTGGCATCAGCAGGCTCAAGTTTACCTCTACAAACTTTGCAACATGCAAAAAGTGCAGGAGCCCAGTGGAAACTGGTAGGCAGCACAAACTAAGAGCAACTTTTGTGATATGCAATCCTATAATAAAGATTTATCTTCCAACCACCTAAACACTGCCAGTAAAAGAAGAGTTGATATAATGCTCGCCCTCAATCAGAACTGATCATGCATATGAAGAAACTTTGATTGCTAACTCAGTTTCTCAGTTTTTCCATTTCTCCATTTCTTAAAAACATACATTATCCAATGCACTGATGTATGAGGATAGCAGAGTACAGGGCAAGTGCTCTAGAAATTACCTGAAAAAGTGTGTTGTGCTCCGGAACTACATTCTTCTTCTCTAAAACCAGGACAGGCCTTCCGACAACATCAAGATATGAGTACTTTGTCTGCACATACTCGCATTTCAAAAGCATTAGTCTATAGAGTAAATACTTTAAGGTCTGCAAATCCATTAACAATCTTTTTCGTTTTTTCACATGAGGATTTTACCAGATTTTTCAGTCCCAAGATTGTTTACCGCACATTGGGAAAACATAAAATTGCCGGAAATTCGAAAAATGATGACATAAATGTTGAACTATTGTTATATACAGGAAGAAAGAATTTAATGCAATTGAAAACAAAGTTATCTCGAATGAGAGAAAGAGATGAATAGCAGTTGCATTTAATTTAGGACCCCAAGAAAAAGCAAAGGGAAAGAATTTGTAACTGCTTACCTCCATATGTTGCTCTACTGGAAAAGGAACGACAGCAGAAGGATCTTTGGATCCCTCTGGCAACACAACCTGAAATAAATGGTCATGGATCAGCAACACACATAACACAGTAGCATAAAAATGGATTCGTGATAAAAAAAAAATGAAAAACTCACCTTCACAGTTAACTTGTCCACAACAGTCCCAGAAAGAGGGCAGCCAAAGGTAAAGTTGAGATATCTCTTGCCATCAGTGGACTCAAAGAGGAAATCTTCCAATGGAAGGCCATATCCAATCACAAATGTGGATTTCCATCCCCCAAACAAAGGATACCGAGGTTCAATTTCAAGTTCTGACTGTTAACGTGTTCAGCCAAGAAGACATGGAGATCAGAAGTCAGACTACACAAAGCCACATACTATAAAAAAAGAAGTCAGTGATAACTACAGGTTGGTCACTTTGGTTTGCAGGAATAGAGATATGATACCTTGCGAGAATCTGTACGAAGGCGTGAGGATGAAATGTTTCCTATTTCATCTCGATAATATACGGAGTGCACCCTAGGCGGCAGTCTTGCTAGAAGGTTTTTGAATGAAGATACACCACTAGCACCTGGCCTAGATTGATAATCAACCCTGCGAAACAATGAAGACCTCATTCAGAATCGCACATTAAAATCATCTTAAAGTGAGCTAAACAATCTATGTCCAGTCAGATGGAAGAAATGGAGAAAGAAAGACATGCAAATGCCAAATCAGACTGAACATTCCATGCACATGCTATTAGCTACTTTTGGGGAGCTATGCATAGGGTGCCCATTGGTGAAATAAGAAAAGAGCATGTGAAAATAGAAGATAGGCACTCTGCAGATGCAAACTAGATTTGTTGCTCTGAACAGGCAAATAACTTTGATATGTTGATTTCAAATTCTAAAGAAATTTGTGGTTGGTGAAAAATAGTGCTTATGTACTAATAAGTCAGAATGAAGTAATAAGAAACAGAAAACAGATTGGAAGGCCTGATATGAGCTCATGGAATGCAGGAACGACCCTTACCTAGAAAACACGCCTTTAAGTTTAGCGCCACCATGAGCTAATGTATAGTGTTCAGTTATCTGAAGGTTTCCCCAATGTGAGATTTCCACTTCACGAACAAGCTCCTCAACAACAGCAAATGGGTTGTTATTCTCAAAATGAACAAGAACTGGAGAGAACGAGTATGCAGGGCGATCTTCATAGGGTCCATATTTGAGTTCCATACCAGCTCTATTAGTTGGTTCCACTCTAGAGAATGATAGCACATTTGTGCTTGGTGTCTTGATGAAAGTTGTCTGCTGCTTAATACGATATGGTGACAGTATATATGCACTATCACGATAGTATACCAACTGTGGTTCTGATTGACTTATCTCCGCAGGGAAAGGTTCCATAGAATGGGTCAACATATAGAGAACTTCAATGGTTGATGTTTCACCTGGGCTTAGAGGATTAAGCAAAGCTATTCGGAAACACTTAGCGCCTTTTGGTGCGTCAGGTACATCTGTTGGCTTTACATCGAGAGGAACATGTGTTTTCTTCCTTTTCTTTCCCGAGGCCGCTTGTGCCTTCACTTCAGCCAGGTGGTCGGCCTCAGTGGGAGGAAATGAAAGAAGAACCTCAGAAGCAGCAGCCTTTCCGGTGTTCTCAACCTGAGAGAGTTCACTAGAGCTCAGTCGCTTTTTGTTCGATTCAAATTCACAGCAGATACTAGGAAAAGTTAAAATGATCATACCTTTAAGGTCAAGAATACAATGGCAATCTGTGAACTCAAGTCAATCTGCACCAATTATTACCACATTGGTAAGAGGGAGAAAAAAAACGGTAAGGATCAGTCTAATCGTGTTCTTCTCAACCCAATTGAAGAAAAGGGTAAACAAACATGAACATTGAAAATGGAAACTAATTTTAGCAATGTCTCTCGCTAACCGATGGACGAAGCCCCATTTGGAAGACATCAAAAACAAAATCGCAATTCGACAATCTTCCATGGGGATGGAACGCCGCAAGGGCGTTAACCAGAACCGATCAACAATAACAGTGATGAATTTCAAACTAGGACGGCATTCCGAAGGAGGAAAAAACACGGTTTCAGGGAATCGGCATGCTTACTCGACGCTCGGCGTTGAGAATTTGGATCTCCTGCGCGGCGGAGGATGAGACGGCAAGAAGTGAGAGAAATGCGAAGATCAAGAGGGCCGCAGTTCGCTGTGCTCTCAGTGAAGCCTCCATGGAAGCTGCTCCTAGCTGATCGGAGGCTTAGGGGGCTGGGGGAGTTTCAAGCTGCAAGACTTTGAAGTCACCGGAAAGCAATAGCCGTATCAACTAGCATCATTCCTAGAAATGGCAATCAAACCCATGGCCGCGGGTAACCGACCGCCCCCAACCCAGTCAACGCGAGGAATCTCCGCTTTGATCGAGTATGGAGCGGGTATGGGTAAAACCCGCAAAATTTTTGATGCGTATGGACTATGGGGCGGGTATGATTTTAGCCTCTCCCGCCCCATACTCATATCCATACCCGCCCCACCAAGAGAGTTTCTTCACATATAAAAAAATATGTGGATTAAATTGTAATCTATCAATGATGATGATGATAACTCGAGAAAATAAGTAGTAGAAATGCAATTGAGTAACCACCTTAATCAAAACCTAATTCATTTCCCTCAATTCTCCTTCCACTCTTTCACTTTCCCCATTGTCAACAAGATTATCTTAGTTAATTATTACTTAGTAAATGTATCAAGAGTTAGAGCATAATGATTTAAAAAATATTGTAGTCTATATTATGTATTAATGGATGTTTTAGGATCATATTCTTTGAATCGTATTTAGAAAATGACCTTGTTTTGTTGACTTCATAATATAATAGGTTTGTTTATGGTTATAATTAAAACTTTTCATGTAAGTTTTAGGTATAATAATGTTGGATGTACGGGGATGAATATTACCCATGGGTACCCGAAATTCACAGGTATGGGGATGGGTTTGCAAAACATTTCCCGCATGGGTATGGGGCGGGTATGGATTTGCGTATTTGAAGATGGGGATGGGATTGTTTAGGCAAACCCGCCCCATTGCCATCCCTAATCAGTCGGGACTCGGAAGTAGTAGACCGAGCTGGTGGAGACTGGAGAGAGATTTAATAAAAGGCTGGCGGAGATGACACCTCATTTGGACATGCCGGCCCAATATCTCATCCATAAGTTAAACTAGTATGGGCTTTTGGCCCAATTCTGGCTTGATTGATTTGAGGCCATCTTCCTTGGTCCAATGTAGACATGTGCGAGTACCGGTATTTGGGAGCCCTGTTCACTTCCATTTTCGTTTCCTGTTTTCTGTTTTTATGTGATAAATTTGGCAATCGAAATGAGAAAACTTGTTTACTTTTCATTCTGTTTTCTATTCGTTTCCAACTATGAAAACAGAAAGTGGCAACTTCCTGCTGTTTTCGGAAACGACAAAATGTTGTTTTCACCTGTTTTCAACATCTGTTTTCTCAAAAACAGGAAACATAAATGAGGCCAGTAGTTGTCGCCTGTTTTAGTTTGTTGGTTTACTTTGCTAATGTGCTTATTAGACACCACATTTTTTAGTTTGTTGTTATTACTTATAAGATTCGTTTTGTATATATTAGTTATATAATTTGTAGGGAATGAATTTGATATTTTATATAATAAAGCACTATTTGATATTCATAATTTTGATATTTGGTGATTTTCACCTCTATGTAACAAACCATTTTAATATGGGTTTTGGTTTGTGCTTAATCCATTGCAGTACTTAATTAATTGATTGATTGGTTCGCTAATGGCGGAAGTAATCGTTTGAACCAGAATAGTTATAAAACAAACGCACTCGAAATGTGGATAAAATACGACAAATACTAAATACAAACAAAAGACGAGATTAATTACTAGCATATAGACCATTTAACATTAAAGTTAATTATTAGGTCCAAAAAGTCGTGGACCGGACCCACACGGCACGACTATGCTACTTATTCATTACTTCATTCATCCCCTCCCTCCCTAGCTCGATCATTCCACTAATTCTTTTTTTTTTTTTTTTTTTTTTACCGCCGTCTAGCCAGGTGTAGCAAGCTAGCTAGACGTTATGGTATACATGCATGCATGCAGGCAGGTTAATTAGAAGGAGGTGTAGTAGCGGCCGGCGGGCTGGCCCTTGAACTGGCACCTTGAAGGCGAAGACACGCCGCACTCCCCGGGAAGGCTCTGAGCGATCTGCCAAGCCGCCTGCGTCGACGTGGGGCCCCTAATCTCGCCGCGACGCTCCGTCATCATCTGCCCCACGGCCGCCTCGATGCCCATGCAGGTGCACTGCGGGTCCATCTGCCTCAGCGCGCTGCAGCACATGGTGAAGGGGTCCTGCTGCGGGTCCACGCGCCGCCGGCCGCCTCTCCACCCGCTGCTGCCGCCGCCGCGCCCCGCCTCCTGAATCATGTAGTCCTGGCACCGCCTCAGGTTGCCCTGCCTCTGCAGCTGGGACCAGCAGCTCCCGGGCTCCTCTCGGCGGCCTCTCCAGCCGCGGCCTTGGTTGGCGTCGTCCTCGCCGTCGATGATCACGGTGGCGCGGAGGGAGGAGGCCGAGGATGCTGCGGCGAGCAGGAGGAGCAGCGCCGCCGCAAGGGAAAGGCTCGTATGGGTTGCCATTGTTTGGTGATTGCTGTGAGAATGCTTTGATGGTTCAATGAGATGCGTGGAAGGTTATATATATATATAGAGTGGAGAAAGGAGGGGTTTTGCATGGAGAGAACGTGTTGGGTTGAAGGAGGACACGTCGGTTCTTGTGGGCTTACACGTAGTCTTGGACATGCAGATGTAGCCATTTTTGCAGTTACTCTGTTAAGCTGTTGTTGCTGCAGCTTTCGCTGTCGTTGCTTGCTTGCTACTCGATGCAAAGAGTTAAAATTGTTAAAAGAGACAATTATTGCATCCGATTTTCCAAACTAGCATGCATGTTAATGAAGAGAAATTAACAATAACAAGGATAGAAATTAACACGAGTATAGAGATCATATAACATTTACTAATATATTTCATTAAATGAAAGTTGGTTTACATATGCTTGAACTTTAAACAGATAGAAAGTTGGTTTACATATACTTGTAATTGTTGTAATTGTGGGAGAAGAGGCTCTAAAAGTCTTGCCGATTATTCTAATTACACATAATTTTATTTATATTTCAAAGTTGAGATGGGCTAGAGCCTATCCTACCATCAATCTAGCTCCACTATTTAATTCAATTATGTATCATTTACTAACATATTTAGCTAACTTTATCACTCCTTTTTAACTATGCTCAAACCAAATTCTAAACCAAGACGGTTAAGGGGTTATGTTGTCATCTTGTTAGGTTAATTTTGATGAATTGGAACTCTATTATGTAGGGAGGGGTGGTTATATGATCCGGTCCGGTTAAATTTGTCCGAATTAATCTGATTTTAGATTGAGTTTGTGGGGATTTGAGTAGCCTGAGACCTCTGAAAGGGTGAGGAGTTAGGTTAAATTTTAGGTGTTAGGCTCTCTTATCTGTTCTTTATCCGGTTTTCGGTCTGGTCCCGAACGGTTTTTTACATCAAATCTAAGCCCGAAAATGAGATTGTATTGTTTGCTATCCGATCCCGGTCCAATTTTTGTCTGAATAATACGATCTGATTTCGAGTAAAACCAAAAAATTCGAACTAAATAGCCACACTAGACAGTACAAAGGAAAAAAACCCTACGGCGATGATAATTAAGTTATTTCAAATTTGACCGAAATTCCTAAAATTCAAAGTTTAGTGACCGATTTGGTAGTTGTCACAAACTTCAGTAACTGATTTCTCGGTCAAATTCCATTTAGGTACTCCTCCGACCTCCGTCTTTCTTCTGCCCTTATTCTTTGCCGGCCTCTCTCTCTCTCTCTCTCAGTGCTTTATCTCTTCTTCAACGCCGGCGCATCTAAAAGCCAAGGCCAAATACCTCGCAGTTGTTGGGGGTACATCAAAAGCTGAAAGGTAAAGCTGCAATCTCAAGCAACCTCTCTGGCTCTCTGCTCTTGCTCTGCCTTTGTTTTTAAACTAGTTTCAAATACATACCTTTTCACTGTCGCCGGCTACCGCTCCTACCAAATTCATCCTGCAATTGGATATCATCAGTTTATATTATTTGCAGGGCTGCTTGTTAATTAGGAAAAGATGACAACGGTAGAATCAGGTACGAGTCGCCCTCGTAAAACATCGCACGGCGGTATTCCTTCTGCCGCCGATGCAACAGCTAAAGTTCATCAGAGCGCAATTGGGTCGTTCAAAAGATGGGGTAGGAGACATCCGTTTGTGAGATATGGGCTTCCCATGATTTCCCTCACAGTGTTCGGTGCTCTTGGCCTTGGTCATCTCTTGCAGGGCAGGTTAGTGCCTTCCCTCTCCCTTCAAATGAATTCCTGATTGATTGTTAGATGAAAGAACTGAACTTCATGTATGAGTGAACTTACCAATTGGATACATTTTCCAATCTGGATGTGTTATGATCAAAATTTCAAGTTCGAGATTGTAAGGTGAATTAGGAATCCAATTGATTTTGCTGATTTCCTACGGAACCCTAGCTAGCTAGTTCATCAGGGAGAATAATGAGAATAAGTGATTTTCATGAGACAAGGTAGCGTATTTTACAGTTTAGATGAGGAGAGTCTTAGATGGCTTTAGAAGAGGTGGCTGTATCTGTAGAACAGTAGAACCTTTTTCCTCTAGCAAAGGTCTGAGAGATTAGTCACGTCCTTTTTAACCATTGGAGTGTGTAATTGTTATAGTGTGTTTGGGATTCCATAGTTATTGTGACAGTAGTAAGAGTGCATAGGAACAAGGGATGTCTGGTGGAGAATAATCTACCTATATTTCTATTGAACATATAGGTGGAATTTTTTTTCCTTCATGAGTTAAAAGGTTATTTTGTAGCCGAGCTAAATTAGAGAAGAGGCTGCCCCTTGTTTAGTTGAAAATGATGTTTGTCTCTTCCCTCATTCTGAGTCTTTCTTGACTGATAACAAGTAGATTAATGATCAAATGTGTGCGGAGATGTCTGGAAGACAGATGGTCGATGAAGAAGAGGCATTGCAATATGAGATCTTGAGCATTTAATGCTTGTTTCTTTTGTGCCCTCTCTGTTGGACATCTTCCTGTTTGATCATCTCATTCATTTCCCTTGCAATTCTGGAAACAGAACTCTTTCATTAGTTTTAGCATCTTGATTCTTGATCTGAAGCAGCAGCAATGTCATTTTTCATTGAGTACTTTGCTTGCACAAGAAGCATTTTGCACTAGCAATTGCTATCAGTCTTCATAAAATTTGCTATGTTGTTCTGAAACGTGGCAGTTTCTGTAGTTCAGCAAGGATATTGCTAAAGTAAAAGACGATCAAGAATGGGAGATCATCGAGACTAGGAAGGAACTATCAAGAACGGGTCCTGTCAATGCTTATAACCCGAAAAAGATTTCTTTGGAGCAGGAGCTACAGGTATTCCATTTTCCGGCCTTTGGTTTTCAACTGCACCATAAACCCTAGGGGACTCACACTACCAATTACCTTTTTTTCTCCTTTCTGATAATTTTCACAGGCTCTCCAACAGAAAGTGAACATAGATGACTACGATTACAAAAGAATTCCAAAGCCTGATGAAGGCAGATCAAGCTAGCCTGAAGCTTTTCTATCCTTTCTCAGCCTCATAAAGCATCGAGACTTCAGACATTGCTCTGGATCCAGGTCCTACGCACTTGCTGGTTGACTCTTAAAGGGATCGACGCATCAAAATTTTGGCTCAAGTATTGTTAATAGCTGCTTCCGGTGAAATGGTTCCTAGCTTTACGGATCTGAAGTTATCTTAGCAGGTTGGTTGAATCGTAGGTTGAACTAAACTGAAACTTTGGCAGTTGTTCTGCAGTTTTCCTTGGAGCAATATTGGCAAATATTTAGTGTTTTATTTGTTCGTGCTATCTTGTCATGTGTGCTGAACCTCTGCCTGGGCCATATGAGGCAGTAGGCACTGAGGCTCCAAATCACATACTGAACAAAGTTAAAATGCCAGATTTGACACTAAGAACCAACAAAACAATTGAGAGGTGGAAAACTTATATATAATTCAGGTGAAAAGATTCACCTGCACCATTCTCTTCAATTACAAGCTTTTTTATACCCCCAATTCTTCTCCCCCCACCATTACTCTCCTATTTACACCCCCCAACAACAAAAATGAAAAAGTCATCAAAAACCCTAACCCTGCTCTTCTCCTTTTCTTCTCCCAACCCCCATCTCATATACTTTCTTTGCCACTCTTCCCAGCCGTTATTCATTTACACAAAATGAGGCAAACTAAACCCAAAAGTCCAGAAAGGGAAGAAAAGAAAACCCAGCTCAGACTTTCTACCAATGGTATTCCAAACAAAATGCAGAAAGCCAGATCTAGGCATTGCAAGAGTGGCTCATACTAATGAAGCCCCAACCCATCACCTTGGTTTTGGCTGTAACCCAATTGACCATAACGGTTGGATGAGCCTCTGATTTGGACTCCCCATAAACGTCGCCTGAGATCGAGTCAGCATCTCTGTCATCGACGGAGTTTGATATGACTGAGCAAGGCTTGATCCGCCACCTGTTGAGTCTCCTCTCGCTGTTGCTCTTTGCCACGAATGTGAGCTCAGCCCTGACAGTATGTATGCTCTACCTGAGGACTCGTACACATTTCGACTCGCCATCCTCTCTTGCATCTCCTTCATCTCAGCATCTAGTGCAACACACAACCGGTCATTTGACCTGCCCGACATGGTTTCCCATAGCTCCTTCCTACAATTCTCAAGGATGGAAGCTGCACCAGTTAGGTTCCTTTGCTCAGCTTCAGTTCTTGCGTGCGACATTGCCTCTGCTGCCTTCAACCTATTACGCTCCCTGTCCACTTCTACTGATACTACTACTTCCTCGGCTACTTCAGGTCTCTGGAGCCTAATTTCTTCACTTTCTAGTGTGCCCATTTCTTTAGTTAGTGGGTCCTTGAAGGCGCATTTTACCTTGAGCAATGATGTTGAACCTTTTGAAGGTTCTGCTGGTGGAACATTGAGTGAAACCAGAAAATTTCTCTCTTCATCTGCATACAAATCTCCAACATCAATGAACCCTGTGCGTCCATCAGCCGATATCCGACTTGGGTAACTTCCAGCTTTCAACGACCGCAGTTTAATGCTAGGATTTGCACATTCAACCACCACCTGCAGCTCTTGCACCACAACGCTCAAGAGCCCTCCAATGCACTGTGCAAATGCATCCTGGATTATGGCTTCCGTCTCAATAAAAGAAAATGTACCACCTGAAATTTCAGAAATAGAATGCATCGAAGAAGCATCATGATCCACTCCAAACCCAAATGCATGCACTGGAATCTTCAATCCGGCTGTCCCACCACCACCATCAATTGTAGAAAGAGGAAGTAGCAACCGGTAATTCGGTTGTTCAGGCTGCTGGTTAGTACCACTACTAACGGTATAAGTATCCTGTCCATCAGACAGCAATATTATGCTTGCCACTGAATTCTTATCTTTCCTTTCTTCCATCACTTTAGCTCCCTTTCTCAGGCCTTCAGCTATATTGGTCCCACCGTTGGCTATCAAAGAGTTGACAGCTTGAAGCGCCTGCTGCCGCCCTGCGTCAGACATTCGCCTCAAGGGGAAGAGGCGTCGAGCTGTGGATGAGAAGGCCACAACAGAGAGCCGGTCATTGGAGCCAAGGTTCTGTATCACAAATCCCATAGCACGTTTAAGCAATGCCAGCTTTGTTCCTGCCATGCTACCACTGATGTCGAGAACTGTGACCAGGTCAACTGGAGCTCGAGGAGTTTGACAGAGTTGAGGATAGCTGCTAGTCTGGTTTCTTATCATGGCAGCAACAGCAGCAGCTTTAAGATTGACAAGGAGAGTGAAGTTCTCATAAGAATTGGAACGCGATGCTGCTGTAACTTCAGGATGTACATTGATGTCAATTGCTCTACCAGAACTGCATGCGGCACCAATTTCATATTCTGGCTGGATGTCCAAAGTTTCATCGTCATTATATACAATAGGTTCGGCAACCTGAAGTAATGGTACAATGTGCCTCCTACTCGGGTCCCGGCGAGGGGGAGGTAAGCGACGTACAACAGTCATCAAAGCATCATTGTTAGGCCAGCCTACAGCATTGATTGAGACAGCTCTCCCAAGCGGAGGATCTAAATCTGGAGCCTGCAAGGGGATTTCTTTCCATTTTGATCTGCAGACTGGACATATCTGATTACCGTGCTTCACATTCGAAACGATGCAATGGAAATGGAATGAATGTGAACACTCCGCTGTGAAAATCGCATGGCCACCTCCTTGTTTCATCTTGGTCAGGCAGATTGAGCAGGTTAGCTGAAATCATGGAGAAAACAAAGCAGAAAAGGAATAAGTGGGATGCTATATGGAATGTCAATAAACCCCAAATCAGTATCGAAATAAACAGCATACAAAAGAGGAAGAATCAAGGAGGTATTCATTAACTCATTCTAAAATGAGCTCATCAAAGCTCTTATGAACCTAGAATTTGATTCTTTGATGATTAGTTTTCATCTTATTATTCAGTGACATTCAGGGTACAATAACAAGATTGCAGGAGAAGTAAATATGGAAAGTTTGCTCAGTAATGCATAAATTTCATATTTTGGCCCATCAGGATGGCCATGGAATCAGATCCAATGCTCGAGTAAAGACAAGGCAGACTGCTGCTGTGATAGAACATGAACAACAGTAACGACTATGTAATCAGAACTAGAAAAATGGGCTCCACAAGAGAAATGTCAAGCTTAACTGACTGTCAAAAGAAGGACGTTTTGAGAGATCATCAGGAAACTGTTTTAAGATACAGATGAACCATAGATGAAAAGGGGAAACAGGAGCAATTGAATGTCCAACCCGTCATCCACCAAGAAAGAGAAATGATGAGGAGTTGCTTTAAGAATTATGATGTGCTTTCTTTTTCCCTCTTTTCTTTTGCTTGTTTGATGAATTTCCATACCTACAACTACAGGAGCTTGCCAACCAAACACTCAAAACAGTTCAAGCCACCATCTCATTTCTGTTTTTCTTTTCTTACACACTTCACTTTCAAGGTAAGGACTAAGGAGTGAAAGAAAGATTGATTGCGCTGTAGCTTTCTTGTAACTGTTGGGGCAAATGAAAATGGCACAGAAAGGGACCTAGGTGGCTTACTCAAAGAGAACATGACATCACCCTAGCCAAGTAAAACCAATAATTTCTCAGTCAGTCATCCTCCTTATACTACCAAAAATGGATTAACCACCAAATTTTCAATGATTTCTCATCCTTTCTATAATTTCCAGGGAGGGAGGAGACTAAAAAGTGCAAAACATATCTCCACCAAATAAAGATTAGATGAAATCATATCCAGTTGATGTCCATATCTCATGTTGCAGATAGGGCATACATTGCCCCTTTTGAAATTGGGACCTAAGACCAGACCAGATAGCGCATAATCCTCTATTCCTCTACCATTACACCTGTCTATGTCGTCGTAGTAAAAAGAAAAAAAATACAAGTGAAGCAATGCTTTTTTTTCAGTGGAAACTTTATGGCCATTTGAAAATGATGTTTGGCAAGAAAATAGTTAGGCAGAATCATGTGGATTCTCATTTTCCCAAGCCCAAACTCCGTAAAAGGAAGATGCTTTATTCAATCAATCACCAAATATACAGCATAGAGGCTACTGTGATTTACTGGGTCTCATCAGAGCACAAAGCATTCATTATTACTGAATTAAAATCGTTCAACCAGAAGGGTAAAAAGAATAAGGAAATGATAGAATTTGGAGCCTCCTGACCCTGGAAATGATCTACAATCACAGCAATTCCTAATTAAAAATTTTTCCTCACCACCCAAACAAGTCTTATGAAGACCCAATCAGACACTAGAGAAAAGAACCAAAGGACATGCAGCAGAACAAAATCTCAGCAGCTGAGAAAAATAGCAAAAAACCAGAACAAATGAACAGATTGAGGACAAAGAAAGAGTAAAGTAAAGAAAATCAAACCTTAGAAGACTTGCTCCCAGTTCTGGGCAGCTTCAAACCATGAGAAGATGGAACTGGAGTCATTGGCCTAGCATCCCAACTTGTAGGCGAAAGCAGAGCAACATCTGATACCCTCTCAGTTGAAGTTGCTGCTGGCAAGTCGTCGTCCAGCGTCCTTGGCACGTACACACAAAGATTCAGACCCAAAGCCAGCTTTGCTTTTCTCCATCTACTACTCCCCATTTTTTTTTTCTATTTAGGCTGTGCTTTCTTGTCACTCGACTTAAGTAATAGTGACAAAGATTCGTTCTTTCAGGGATTCAAGAACCGCAGAAGGGATACCCAGAAAAACCCCTCAATTTTAACAATCAACTTGGACAAAAGATTCAAGAACGTAAGAAAGTAAGGTGAGGGGAAGGAAAACAGAGAGAGGTGGGAGGGCGAAGACCAAGAAAAGTAAAGAAACAGATCTCAAAGTGCTGCTTTTTGATAGGAGTCAAGCTGCTTTCTCTCCAATCCTTGTAAATAATATTGATCTGTGTCTTTCTTGGAATGTGAGAGATGAGAGAGAGATAATGGAGAGTAATGGACTTACTAATGGGGTTCTTGAGGCAAAAAAGTCGAAATGGGCACACACACGAAACCCCAAAAAAGAGAGTGGAGAGGTTGAAAAAGGGTAAGTAATAAGCTGGGGAGTTACGGGTTTATTGTAAGTTGGCCAAAATGAGCATCAAAACAAAATGTGAGCTTGTGATAAAAGAGAGGCCAACTTACCCAAGCACAACAAAAGAAGCAGGGGAGGTTTGTCAAAGAAGGGAAACAGAGGAGGCTACTGCTGAGAGTGAGAAAGAATTGTGGAGGAGGAAGAAGAAGAAGAAGAAGAAGAAGAAGAAGAAGAAGCTTAGAAGGTGGCGGGTTGAGATTTCAGAAGTTGTAGTTGTCTGTGTCTCGTTGTTTATGGAGTTGAGCTTGACCGCCATTGAATAGAATAGAAGGAGAG